ACTTAAATAATTATAATGCTTAATATAAGCTATAAATTATTTATATAGCTTTTAAAATAGGTATTTAAAATAATTATTTATATTTTTAAAACTTTTAAATCCCTTAGGTAAAGTTGGAAAATAAGTTTTACCCCGCACTTAACCTGATTTTTATTTTCGCAACTTGTGGTAGTGGCCCACCGTAATGCATCCTAATCAGGAAGGATACTCTCTCTGTGGAATCAGACTCCTAGATTGGCATCGCCAGTGCTCGCGGCGAGTATTATGACCCCGTCTTGACTTATTGGTCATCTCTGGTGTTCCCGTTTTGGAGGGCAGCAGATCATGCTACCCAAGTATTCCTGGGGGTAGTGTTGACGAGGTAATAAGTCACAAAGGTTATGGCTTGCTTTGGCTTAGATTTAGCAACAGCAATATTCTTTTTCATGGATAGGAAATGACACTCACACATTTTATATATTGTATTTCGCTTGTTTGAAATGACAACATTAAATTGATTTGAAACAACTGCTAGAGACGGAGGTCTGTACCCTCTCATCCCTCTTCTCATAACTCTACGGTAAACAACCCACGGTAAAACTCCAAGCATGCTACTAAGATTATCAAGCCGGACTTTGTAAGTAATATGCCGTTTCAAGAAGCACTCTTGAACCCAGTATACTCTGGGTGCGCAATTAGACAAAACTTTGCTAAGTGAGGATCATGGAGTCTTACTTGGTAGAATAATATTACATACCAAGAGCTGCCCAGACCTACCATCTTAAGCGATCCGCATGCATTGCATTCTCGCTTACTAATAGGGGTAGATTTTCACCATGTTGATTTGCGCGCATGGAATCAAGGTGTCCTCGGATGCGGGTAATCTACTGTTGCATTCTGTGGCCACGAACAGTGGACATGCTAACAGCGGTGGGCCCATCTCAGCCAGCAGCAGAGCCGAGGATGCAACCTTGAGGAATACCCATCTCTCAGATCTCAACGGCTTCGGTAGGTTGGGACCCCGCAGCATCATGCCGATCTTGGGAATCGGACGGAGGCACCAAGGCCAGGTTCTGTAGACTGGCGCATGGTATTTAAACAGCCGATGACCATGCTCCGAAAGAAACGGAACGACTTCAGTGACGAGCGTGTCGTTGATCACTCAAGTCGAAGATGCTGGCACGTTACGGATTGTTTGGCATCTTTGGGCTCCTCCCCCTTGGAATCTTGTGTCAGAGTGACAATCTCGGTCTAAGAAATGGTTATACTACCCTCACGACAACTAAGTTCAGCGCCAAGATCGTGAAAGATGCTCAAGTCCTTGCATCGCTGACTGCTGCCGGAAGTATTTTTGACTTTCTACCATACGACAAGATTTCAGTGCGTGCCAACAACGGCCAATATCACTGGGGTGATATCACGTTTCGGTATCGCGAGAATGGCAGCAGTACCTGGATAGATGGCGACTCGGCAACCGCTCGCAAAGCTGTCACAGTCGTTAACACTGGTGCGCTAGCTGCTTCAAATCTGACACCGACTCTTGATACTAGTCCTTTGAATATCACGCGGGAATGGATCAATGTCTCCGGAGACCTTGGTCTTCGCTTCACCATTGTCAACACGGGCACATCAACTATTGAACTAGGCTCTCTCGGCTTCCCGGCCGAGTTCAACAGCATCTTCACTAATAGGGCTGCTATCGACATCCAGAACTTGTGCTCTTTATCGGACCCGTACGTTGGCATGCATGCGGGCTACATTCGTGCCAATCCCATCAGCGGTACTGGAGCCGCTCTTGTCGTAACGCCACTCAACGGGACGGACACACCTTTCGAGGGGTATCGCAACCTCGTTGAGCAATCATATTCCAGCACAGGATATGGTAGTCAAACATTTGAGGGGTTTTACGAGTGGCAAGTGCTCACAAAGGCGTGGGCTGAGAACGAATGGGCCGCTGTGACTCCTTGGAACCCTCCATCCTCGCGAACTTTGACTCCTGGACAGTCCATGCAGTTCGGCCTTCGCTTCTCAATTGCCAGTGACGGTGTGCGCGGTATTGATAACGCAGTAAGTGGAACAGGAACACCTGTGGCGGTTGGTGTACCGGGATACATAATTCCGAGGGATTCGCCAGCCCAGCTATTTTTGCAGGCTTCCTCGAGCGTAACTTCGATGTCCAGCGAGCCATCTGGCGCATTGATGGTCAAGGAGGTATCGGCGGGCTCCTACACTGTAACACCATCATCAACTATATGGGGTCGTGTGCGACTGACCATCAAGTATGCTGATGGCAAAACACAAACGATTCACTACTATGTCACAAAAGCCAGCACAGATGTGTTGAGCAACCTAGGAACATTCCTTACCACTAAGCAATGGTTTAATGACACTTCTGACCCCTTTGGCCGCGCAAACTCTATCATGACGTATGACTACGAAGCTGGAGCCATAGTCACGCAGGATCCGCGCGTATGGATTGCCGGACTTAGCGACGAGGGTGGTGTGGGAGCATTCCTCGCTGCCATGATGAAGCAATCTGTCCAGCCTAACGCAGATGAGATAGCGAAGCTTGAGACGTTTGTCGACAAGGTGCTTTGGGGCACCATCCAGACTAGCGATTTTGCGGTCCGGAAAAGTGTCTTTTATTATGATAAGTCGGCTCTCCCCAATTATCCCTATAAATCAAGTATTAACTGGGGCAACTGGTGGTCTTGGAATAAGGCGTCTTCATATGCCATAGATCGCGCATATGATTACGTTCACGTTGCTGCCTCGTATTGGTCCATGTATCGAGTCGCAAGGGCTTATCCTGGTCTCGTGCAGAGTCACGCCTGGGACTGGTATTTGTTGCAGGCTTATAACACGATTATACGGATGACCAAAAGAGATGTGGGATATAATCGAGTTGGGTTGATGGGAGAGACAGTCTTCGGAGAGATCTTGACGGACTTGACGCGTGAAGGAATGACATCTCAAGCTTCGACCCTATCAACGGCTATGGAGTCTAGAGCGGCGCAGTGGAATTCTGAAGCAGTGCCCTACGGTAGCGAGATGGCTTGGGATTCAACGGGCCAAGAGTAAGTTTCTGACCTTGTTGGCTAGTAATCCTCGCTCAGACTCCAAGGAGTGTTAAGTCTTAGCTAATACACTTGTATCTTAGGGGTGTTTACTACTGGACAAAGTAAGCTCTCCCTTCTTCTCAATATCTAAAGCTAGACATGTGAACTCACTTCATCATAGATACTTCGGATACACGAACACAGTGACCAAAACAGTGAATAGCGTTTTAGGGTATATGCCCACAGTCCCCCACTGGGGATGGAACGGCAACGCCCGAAGATATTGGGATAACATTGTAAGCATGTCGCACCCTTCAGTATCGCGCCTCACGAAGTCCCGTTAACGAAGTGGATTAGTATGGTGGGAAACTACAGCGGATCGAACGTCAAATCCACCATTACGGGTCAGGACTCAACGCGCTCGTCTTGCTTTCAGCGTTCCGTAGTGACCCATCGGACTCGTACATATTACAAGTCGGGTATGGTGGCATAAATGGACCGCTTTCCAACATCAATCAGGACGGCTTTGCCGCCGCATCTTTCCATTCCTGGCCGGACACTCTCAAGTGGGATGGCTACAGTGGTGATTACGGCCCAGGCTTCGTAGGGTTGGCTCTAGGCTCAGGAACATACGTCGCGCAACACACGACATTAGGATTATTAGTGTATGGCGGCACACTCACATCTTCTCCTGGCGCAAGCAGCGTTAGTGTTACAACCACCGGACCCGTTCGACGCAAGGTATTCATCGGGCCATTGGGTGTGCTGCTTACCACAGATGCTGGTAGTATTGATGGTTTTGGTTATGCTAGCGATGGAAGCAACATCACTTTAACCTTGACTCAGCTCTCTGGCGGTCCATCGGCTCCATCTGCTGTGCTGTGGATTGAGACCACATCAGGATCTGCCAACTACACCGTCTCGAGCCCCACGACTCCTCAGTCACGTAAAGGATGGGCAATTCCCCTGTCGCCAAGTCCCGTAACTGTCCAGCTCAAGAAATCTTAAATGTGTCAGTGAGTGAATTATATAATATAGATTAATTAGATAGCTCACATCATCTTCGTGATTAAAGCACTTGCAAGAGTCAGTCCACTTTTAGCTCACATCCCTCAGGCCTTCAAATTAGATTTTTGCCCTGTCAAACTACACATGGTTTTCCAATGGAAAGATAGTGCATCTTTATGATGCGAATATGGGTGAAAATCTGCATCGTGAAATCTACATGGTAGATCTTTTAAGGGGTTGACTACCCCGTACGCGCTACACATGGCTGCCAGCTGGCACCAAGTCCTGCCAGCTGTTATTGGGCAAGCTCAGTGGTGCTGATGGCCGTCAATCAACCTCTTGCTTAGTGCACCAACTTCAAGCAGCTATCATCCTGCCTTTACAAGCCATCCATCTCCATCTTCAATTTTACCTGTGACGCGTTTGACGCGACCGCCAAAATGTCAGATAAAGGTGCCTCCCCGCGACATGCACGCGACGAACCGTCCCCTCCTCATATGAAACGTAGGAATGATGCTCGCAGTCAATCGCCTCCTCGCAGTGTAGAAGATCGGGCGGATGGTCACAGGAGACGCGATGACTACCGGTCTCGAAACGACGATGATCGACCCCGCGCCTCCCGCGATAATTGGAGGGATCGGAGAAACCACGATGATGATAAATCGAACAGGCGGTATGGAACTCGCGAAGACGACCGATCTGAGCGGAGAGATAGAAACAGAGACTCGGATGAGCGCCGGGACAGGGACCGACCAAGACCGAAAAAGAGTTTCGGTGGGATCAAATACAAGGAGAAGCGTCGCGATGATGATGACGATCGAGACGGTAATCGCCGAGGAGATTCGTACCGCGGGTACCGCAATCGCTCGCCTTCGCCTCGACGAAGAAACTATGACCGCGATGAGCCCTCGTCTTCATCCTCTAAAAATACCAAGAAAAAGTCTGCAGAGACAGACACTTCGAAGCCACCGTCTCGGGCGCCTGCGGCTCCTGTCGCCAGCGGCGAGGAGATGATCATTGTGCACGTGAACGACCGACTGGGAACCAAGGCGGCCATTCCTTGCTTCGCAAGTGACCATATCAAAGAGTTTAAAATCATGGTTGCAGCAAGGATTGGACGAGAACCGCACGAAATCTTATTGAAGAGACAGGGGCAGCGCCCATTCAAGGATATGCTCACACTTGCCGACTACGAGATTAGTAACGGCGTACAATTGGATCTTGAGGTTGACACAGGGGATTAAGGGCAACACTGGATCTAACTTTGGTATAAAAGCGAAGCGTAACGGCTTTGCTCAGGAGATTACTACCAACTGTTGATGGCTTGGTGTCCTACTGATAAGGTAGCTCCCCAGATAACGACTTATACAGACAATTTGTTAACAGAGCTCAGCCTTGTGCATATCCATATCGCAGACAATTTCCTGAGTCATGATACTTACTGCTCCAAAGCGACTGCGGGCTCGGAATCGCATGATAATAGGTGTTCCTGCCTATATGGAAGCTGATGCAAATTCAAGGGCAACCCCGTCCGAACTACAGACTTCCTCTATGGCACAGAATGAACCCCAGCTTAGTCCGAAGCGCAATACTTTGAGTCATTACTCTCTACCTGGCCCTCTAAACTAAGGAGCCCCCTTTCCCCTATTTAAGACACGGCAACTCTCCTATGCACAAGACTCAGGCTGCCTAGGTCCTGAGTTCATTGACCTTCGGGACTCGTACAAAATGAGAGTGAATTGTGATAAACACATCGTAAGCTTGGACAAATCAGTCTCTTATACTTGTGTATCAGTTCAGACTCTAGGAGATAGATCAGTGACAAAATGTCAGTACGTAGTAAACAACATAGTCATAAACCTCTGAACGTAGGCCGTGTCATCTCTAGTATGCCAATAGCTCCATCCTAAGGTTATTATACTTGCGATAAGGGAGGAGATGCAGCTATCTCACACGAAGCAATTTCATCCTTTTTACAGCAAGGTAATTTGTCAAACCAGAGTTTATCAAAATGAACAGAGTTTAACATCGAGAGAGCACCAAAGCCAGGAAGCGACGGGAAATCCGGCCCACGTCAATTCAATTGCTCCGAAAATGTAATAAGAATAGAGTAATATTATATTAAGAATATCTGAATACCTCTTTTGTTCGTGCCCCTAGAACCCAAACTCCGGCGCCGTCGCTAAATCATCATGTAGTCATTAGAAGATCGCCATCTTCTTAGCGTTGCTTTTCATATTGAACCGGCCTTCAAACGATGCTGCCATAGTCTCCGCGCATTTCCCTCATCAGGGACACCCGCTCCTCCTGCACGTAATTACCTTCCTTCGAGTCCTCCTTGTAATCCTTGCTCTTGATCGCGATATAGATCGTAAGGGCCAAGCCAACAATTGTGCCGGCAACCATAAGTCCCATATTTATAGGTGTCGGATTGTTATGAAACGGACCATGAGTCAGCGCATCCAAGCCATATTGTGAGAATGTGAACAATCCCGAGATACAAGTTATCGCGCCATAAAGGCGACCAAACGTCGCGAAGCCGAACACCTTGGTGGCATAGTCACTTTGATACACAACCCTCGTTAGTACAATATTTTGGTCCCTAAAGAAATTCTGGGAAACTTACGACATCGCAGAATAGTAAAGTGGTCGAAAGATCACGAAAACCACAACGGTCGCGTAACCGGCCGCTACGAAAGGAAGGCAATTGAGAATTCCGATCATAGCGATCATTGCCGTGAGGAGCCCGATGATCGACGTCACACTCAGGTTATTTAACAGGAACCCGATGAATGGCGTTGTAATAATTCCACCAAGTGGAAGCGCAATGCCGAAGAACTTGGTGATTGCCTCGGCGTCCTCGTCCGACTGCAAGAGATACCGATACTGAGACCAGACGGTTGAGATGAAGCTGTTCATCTTCAGCATTTGTATCGCTGTCAGCAGCAGAATGAAGATGAACCAAGCCGTCATCATTTGTCTATGCGCAGGAAGGCCGTGCAACACGCCCCAAACACCGCTCACCACGTGTATCTCTTCTTCCTTTTGGGCTCGTTCCTCACGTTCGTCAGCGTCGCCAAGAATATCCTCGATTTGATTAAGCTTGATCAGACGGCGATCGGCACGGTTACCTCGAACACGATGAAGTTCGGTTGAACTCTCGATATCTTGGTCGGAGTCATGAATGTCACGCGTGGCATCGTAGGCCTTCTCGATCTTGTGCTCGAGGTCGGGCGTCGTTTGATAGGCATCACGAGGCATCAGAGAGAATTCTCCGATGAGGATAATAACTGGCACGATGGTGTAGGCGAAGAAGAACTGGTTCGGCGTGAAAGAGCCGTCCGTGGCTTCCCACGCGAGCTGATATAGGAGCAACACAGCGGCCGAGGCATCAAAGCATCCTGTGATGACCGCAACGATGAGACCGGAGTACTTGGGGAAAGCATTGGCTAACCGGAAGCTAGGGACAAATAGAAAGGTGCCACCAATGGACAACAAGACATTGCCCATGATGTACCCGTCGAATTCAGGAATGGCGAAGGCGTAGCCCAGAAGCACGCTGCCGGCAGCGATCAGTATGCTTGCGGCGATATAGCACGTGCGTCGTCCAAAGTGGTCCAAAGTGTAGCCTGCGAATAGCGCCGCGATGTTTGCTGTGACAGAAGCAGCAGCAAAGAAGAGGTTTAGACGCATATCCTGTTCGGGACAAGGAACGTTGATCAAGGATTTCCCGTCGACGTGCTCGGCACCGCATAGTTCACTGTAGACACCCTCGGCAATCAGGATGGGTTTCAACGAGGCGAAACCAAACACTATGCCCGATGCGAGACAGCACATAGTAGCGCCAAATATGACCTGTGCTGCACATGAAATTTAGCACCACGAGCTTCAATCCAAGACGCGAACGTCCATGGAATGAAACTTACCCAAACGCCTTGCAGCTGATACCTTATAAGCAGCGATGTGTGGCAATGGCTCGACAATTTCCTCAGGGTAGTCAACAGCATCAATAGCTATGAGGGGGTTGTAGCTCAAGGGACGCCACAGTCCTCCGCCGAGGTCGTCATGGTCTCCTGTGACCTCGCGGTCGACACCTTCAGAAGCGGTAACACTACATTGGAATAAAAGTTAGAAAATCCAGACCAAGGAAAATAAATAGATGAAAGCTCAAAACTTGAACGGAATGCGCATGTACACAGAAACAACATCTTCGCGAGGCTAAGGAGTAGAAAAGCTACAAACTAGGACTTACTGTTGGGCGAGAGACATGGAACCTTCCGAAGACGGTGTTGAGGAGTTGTCGAAAGATGAGGTGTGAAGGAACTTGTTTGACGATGCCTCCAAGGGAGAAGAGCTTGGTTATCAAGTCGTTGGCAGACAATGCCACCAAGTGGAACCAGCCGGGTTCCAACAGGAGATAAACCGGGATAGCAACCGTAGTTGCCAATGCACGTAAGAGAGACACGAGAACTAGGTTGTCTTGTGGTTTAGGGAGATGGGGAAGTGGAGGTGCTAGTGGAGGTCAAGACGGGATCATGGGAACATAAATTCCGTCTTTACGGCTCCAACGCGGACGGAGCGCCGTGCTCAGCATTGCATTGTGCTCGGCAACTTATCACACACGGGGTTGCCTACAGCCAACATGGGATGAAATCGCGATGACATTGTGGCGAGATCGGAGGCGACGCGGCATTGTTTTACCAACATGTATGTGGTGAATGTGCAACAGCCACCCAAGTCGATCCTACGATGTAGGTAATGCCTCATAGCAAAGTCGGAAAAGCTTGTAAACAGGTTCAAATCCAAAATCCTTCCCAGATGGAATCGGGCAAGTTATCACACAGCTTGATGCCAAGGTAGGCAGGTCGAGACTTATACCTCGCCTATGGCAAATGGCTTGTCGCCTAGATGCTTGTCTGTCTACACCATTTCGAGTGCAGACTATGTGCTTAGCCTGATGGCAAGAGATCGAAACCGAAGCACAACATGGATTATTAGCAAATCGTTTAGGAAAACGGCTCCACCACACGGGTACCGACCCAGGAAAAACAAGGGTGATTGTTTGCCGCTTCGTGGAGTCGTATTGCATGATGCACGTACTCACATACATACACATACTGTACATGTAGGTCGGGTAGCATTTGGCATACTACTACTGTACTACGTATGTCCGTGGTGTCGGTCAGTCGGTCGATCTTCAATCACCAGTAATGCAGCAAAGCAGTCCGGACATAACGTGGGTGACGCAAGGAAAACTGTCGTCCTCATGTCTCAACCCGCTTAGCATCCCGTTGGTGGCATCTGCCCAGACCATCGCGCAGCGAGGAGGCTGGATAGAGAAACCAGAAGAATCAACGGTTACCAAATAAGGCAATGTGCCAAGCATTCGAAGCGAAGGAAAAAAAAAATCGCTAGGATATGCATTAACTAACGCTCATGGCATTATGACGTTAGTTCCCCGTCTTCAACACGCACGTAGCATCTGAGCGCCACATTGATAGCTATACTTACTATAGTATGGCATGTTCGGGCAGCTAGATTCGGTCTATCTGTAACCATCTCGACTATTGACAATTGGAGTGATTTTAAAACGGTCGTACTAGGTACTAGTAGACACAGGCAGGTCAGACAGGGTCGGCAAACTGACGAGTCTAGATGGCCCCAGATCACCATTGGCGGACATGGGCAGACATTGGCAGACATACTTAGGCAGAGGAGCGGGGTGCATGAGTGCCGCCTACATCGGCCTTCAGTCGTACATATTACTCCGGACATGTAGGTAGGTCGAGCAAGTGTACGCGCGACATACGACACGGCATGTTCCATCCCTCGACGTCCATCCTTGCGCCAACGCCATGCCGTGCGACGCTCCAGGGGAGTTGCCGTGATACTGCCTTCCCATTCTGTCTATTACTATGTACGAGACTGTCGCCGCATCTCAATCCCATCCCTACGGAGTACCGTCATTGGACGGGAGGAAAAGCACCGTCGCTATGCAGATAACTCCGAAACTATAGGCCAATTGAACATGGGTTTCGCGAACCCGAGATCTCTGATCAGCGCCCTCAGGCATATTCAAAGGGCGGCAACGGACGGGGGAAGGTCATGCATCAAAGTACGTGGAGCTCCCACATCACGATACATGTGGTTTTTTGTTCGCCGTAGATGCCCTCCAAGCAGCTCAACTTAGCCGATCCTTCGTTCTAGGCCGAGCTAGCGGATGGCCTAGACAAGGGGAGCTTCATGTTAGCTCACCCTTGTACGCTAAAAACTTGTCTGAACCACCAAGACCCGACGATAGTGGGATGGTGGTTCGTGTCTATAGAGCCCCGTGATCCAGCATCTAATCTCCAAATGTTGAACCCAAAATTAACGCACACGAGACTCTTACCTGCTAGTTCATTTCTGCCTAACTGAGCACATTCTATGTATACATAGTACACAAGGTGATCTGGTCAAGAACTCAGCTCTGATCAAGGATGAGATTCTATTGTAACGTACTGTTTCATAGAGAACAATGCTAGCGTAAGTATCGAAAGAATTGAATATGACTAGTCCTTCAAAACCAACTACGTAGTTATCTTGCTACAAAACGAAACCCGGAGGCCGAGCAATGTATAGTACCATTTACAGAGATAGGTAGGGGCAACGTGCAGGTTCTTCATTTATTCGGCCAATGTTGTCTCACTCGCCTCTTAGCCGCCTTCCGAGAGCCGGCTCTCGGGTATCGGGTGAGTTTCCCCGCAAAGTAGTCACCAACCAGATGGACAAGCTTCAATGTTGGTTTATTGATGAAATATTCCGCTACGGTGCATTTAGTACAGCTCCAAAAGATATGAGAAACTTGGCAGATCTACCTAGCGAGAACTGCCACACCTGAATGGGGTAAGTAAATTATAGATGCACATGCTACTGATTTCATTTATACGCACTCACCTGCTTACTTAAACGGATATATCTCGGAATAGATAAGGGAAAGGGGTGGGTGGGGCCTCTATAGGGATATCAATTCTTATGAAGAAACGAAATGTGGTTTTATATGTACCTCTATGGTAGTTATTATAAGAGTCTTATATCGGCCTGGCAACAACCCTCATTGCTCTGCCTACATTTCACTGCTTTCTATATTAACACAAAATAGAGCTGCCAACTACTTTTAGATTATTCGTCAAGTGAGGTAAAGCTAGACTAGTTCCTACAAGAGTAGCATTACTTCATACGTATTTCCACTCCCGTTCACTTTAATCTAGCTTGGATTATATACGGAACTTCACATTTGTGAGCACGTGCTCGTTTCAATATTGTTGTGAAAAGTAAGAAAGACACATGAAACGCCAAGGCGCTAAAGGAGCCCAAGCAAGTACCGGTACTGTAAGGTGATTGCTAGCGATATCAAGCAAAGCTGTACAATACTATTCGACATGCAACTCGAACTCCCTTACAGCCGAATCCACAGGCAACCTTTCAGATTACTTAGTCAAGCTTGCTCGCCGCAGCTCTAGCCTCTTCGCCAAAATCAACGGGTTGGCCTCCTACCATCGTCCGGGCCTTCATGTCAGTCCCATTCTCCAGGATTACCTTCTTCACGAGGAAACCCCGCATGAACAGATCGGACGCAAGGGCATTGACCTGGGACAAGGGAAGTCTAGGGAAATCGACCACGGCGCCGCTGGCATCTTTCATGGCGCCGGCTTCTGCGTCCCAGGTCCACTCCCACTGGTAATTGGGGTCGGCATAGGCCCAAGGATTAGCGAGCTCTTTGCATTTGCGCGTGGCGCCTTGAGGCAAGAAAGGCAGCACGTAGTCGGTGTACGTGGTTTGCACAAAGTCATATGTGAAAAGCAGCCCATTGGGCGTCCGGTCAAGGTCTATCTTTGCGATGATGGCCGTCGGAGGCTCGTGGTAATGGAAGTCGGGGTAATTCATGACATGGCGGAGGATAGTGGCGTAGATTGTGCCCGCCTCATAGACTTGGGCTGGTGTGGGATGCTCGTTGTTAGGCAGAAGCATTTTGTCGATGATCGTTGATTACCTAGGTAGTATTTGAGTTCGACAATAGGATTATGTACCTAGATGCTGTTGAGCAATCTCACACCGATAGACACACCATCTCAAGCAGTCCCAAGGTAGATTATCCGATGTTTACCCTCAATGCCACTACCTAGCTTGTACTGATCTCATTCGATGAGCATAGACGACTTTCTTTCCTTTCGTTTATGTCAAATGACGTCAAGAATGTTCCCCCTTGACTATAAATGCTTGGCATTCGCCTCTACTGTAGCGTTCTTCCCGCTATTAACACTGGTATTAGCATAGATATATAGAAAATGCATACTACTTTTAATGAAATAATTATCATGATCTCAAATATGTGCGTTTAGAACAATCTTGAAGATGATAATACATAGTAATCATTTTGATAGACAATACATATATATATTCCTGCTATCCATTTTCTATCTATACATAACCGTACCGTCTAACCCAGGACTCCCCCTTCGTTCTTTTGTGTTTCCCCCCTTTCCTAGCTAGTTTCTCACTTTCCTTTAGAAGCGCTGCGATCCTAAGGCTACAACAAAGAAATTTTCTGTATGTAACCTTACCCTCGACACCAAGACATCTCGAGACCCCCGTGCAACGGCAAATATCATACAAGTACTCCGCAAGGAGTGTGGGACGTGTTAAGTTTTGTATAGCTATTCCGCCTACAATACTAACACTTTTTAGCTGGTCCAGGAAGAGGAGGGCCACTGAGGGTGACCTACGGTGAGTATCCTCAGTTTCAAGCGCCACCATTAGCATTTGGCAGAGCAATTTCGAGAGCGCCATGACTTGTCTTCCAGCTTCTTGGGCGCTGGTTCCGGACAAGCGGTTTTTGGCCATGGCCATCCTCCCTCCAAAACCATTTGGTCATAAATAGCATTCACGCACATATCGTTCCGGCCGAAATGCCAATAATAGATCAATTTTCCTGCGCGGTTCATAGCCCATGCCACCCTTATGGTGGGTTGTGAGAGCTGGCTCAGGTCAAATCGGGATGCTACCTGAGTGCGGAGCGCCACGACTTCAATGGCAGCATACCAGTGGAGAGCCTCCTGTCGGTCTTCAAGCCGCGATTCAAGGAAATAATTTCTTTTGACTGCCCACTTCTTGTCGTCTCCTCTTTGATACTCTGTGAAGTCATGATCAAAGAACCCCTCCTCTCGTATGATGTTCGTATGATCCCAGTGGAACCCACGGGTCATAAGCAAAGGTACGTTGTTGCACTTCACCTTCACCAAGGCCGTCCATTCTTGAGTCAGAGGTAGCTGTGAAGGATCAGGGCAATATATGAAGAACACCGATGGCTCCTCCTCAAGTTTATCATACGAGTTTTCCCCTGGCTCCGACCGCGGTATTTCGGGTTCAGGTGTAATAATGGACATGTTTTCGTACGAATGAGGATTGGTGTTGATTTCTTCTTGGTGTTCTCGTTTCTCTGTCTTTGTTATCGCCCGTTTAGTATAGTAGTGCCTTCGGGTAGTTGTAAACTAGTCTTTGTAATCCTATTAAGAGGATATAGATGTCTGTTTTGGAAAATCTGTCTGGAGACGTGATATGGGAAAGCTGATGGGTAGCTCGGGGGCATCAAAAGTTAGGACCAGATTTACCGGGGTGTGCCTTATTCAGCTACCAACAAGAAAGAGCGATTGCAGGTCGATTTCGACAAGGAAGGCGAATGACTGAATATAGGAATGAGCTACCTTGATTGCTGACGCATCGGCGCCTGTCACTTGTGATCTCATTGTTAAGAGCAGACTGAATGTAGCCCGATAACTAGCCACTTCTCTGTCGCCACTTACTAAAGAAGAAGATATTTCTTTGCCTTGCTTGAAGGTTCCATGGAGCCCCCAAAACCGAGTATCTAGAGAGCCTACACTGGACCATCCACTTTAGTTACGTTACCAAAGCGCTCCAATGTTGAGTATACTGCCCAAACAAGAAAATATTTCACATTTAGGCAGCTCCGCCAAGATTTCTGCCCTAGGGCACCAATGACTGTCAAATATAAAGTAGACACGTAAAACTTCGAGCAAGTTCGCAGACAATTAATTGGAATAGTAAGGTTCTCTGACAGTCGGTATATATAATTATGTTCGAAAACACAATAAAAGGGGGTTTCAAGTAGGGCTGGTCGTATTCCCATAGAACGGCAGAATACATATAAAAATCTGTAGGTTTCAATCTAAATCGTAGTGATTTATCATGGCACTCACTCGGCATCGCTTAGCCGCCAGACGGCGTGCTTAAACGAAATTTCCCAATAAACTCAAAGTGTTTACCATGTACCTTGAAGAGATGAGTCAGCAGAACATCCCACAGAGTTAAATACACCTAAAGATACAACTATAACATGGGGACAATCCGGTATCGCCTCATAGATGCAAAGCATCTGCATGAGTGCTTGCATTGATTTCGCTTACGGCATCAACCTTTCTTCACCTTCCACGGAAGAAAGTGCCAGTCTAAAGCATTGGTCAATTTAACAACAGTCACGTGATATGGCGTCGCGTTCGAGTCTCGCCACGGTTTAACAGAGTCGACCACGCGCCCTTTGACCGAAATGGCCGTCTGAGTCACTCGTCTGCCCTTCTCAAAAACCTTATGTGATTTAAAACGACCTTGTAGCCATCAAGAAGTGATTCGGACATCTTTCCATCAAAGTGCGACATCTACGTCCATCAAATCACTTACCAGATACTGAGCGCTCGAAGCTAAACTTATAACTCTTCAACAGCATACACCCTAAAACAATCATGGCTCGAGTAACAATGCGAAAGCACACGCCTAAGCCTATGACAAAAAGGCACGATCTCAAAGTTCAGGAACTACAATCCGTCTCAACCCGCAACATCACATTAGAAACCGTGCCAAGTCCCGAGGAAATGGGTCCCCAGCTGCAACGCATCGCAGCGAGCGACCGCACAGCCTTCGAGAAGAAAGTCTGGACACTTTTGTGCCAGATCCCACCGGGAAGCGTCTCTACCTACGGGCTGATGGCGTCGCATCTCAACTCGTCACCGCGCGCCGTCGGCAACGCCCTACGGAGGAATCCCTTCGCCCCACAGGTGCCGTGCCATCGCGTCGTGGCGACTGGCGGCGCCCTCGGCGGGTTCAAGGGGTTCCCGTCTAAGAACGGGGAGGGCGTCACCATCGGCGAGAAGAAGCTGCTGTTAAAGAGGGAAGGTGTCAAGATTGATGAGAAAGGGCGCGTACTCGGAACACCGTGGAGCGGATTCGTGTCTTGACCCCCTCTTGAACCCAGTGGGGCGGATGCGTGAGATTACCAAGTATGAGCGAGGCGTTTTAGTCAAGTATTCTGTGCTGGAGGAGGATAGGGAAATTGCATTTCGGGAATGTTTTTGATACGAGACGCTGGGATTTCGGGTTGCATGACGATGAGATCATCAGGCTGTGGAACCTGATGAAAGCAACGTTGTACACTAGGCAGCACGTTAGGGCGCGGAAATAGGATTAAAATCCTCAATGGGATGATCGAGTGTCGCACGTAACTAGATCAACGGCCGATTGCCGCTCGATATGTCCGGTTTCCGCTTCGTGTCACTCCGTCAGACCCCCGCCAGTCTTACCTTCTGGCGTCAGCGACATCCGCATCGCCATGTGGATCGACGTCTACTCAGCCCTGCTTACATCTCTGGTCCAGCTCTCAACCCCCTTTAGCAACGGAGTTTCTCATTCGATGATGAGAATGAGAAGAGTGCTGCCACATGTATGTCTCATTGTCGGATAACTTGAATGAAGCCAAATGAAACCTGGATAGCCACAGTACGTAGCTTCGGGCGTCTCCATATCAAACTCTGTTGAAAAATGGAGAGTTCTTACATAACTGTATGACAGATGATCAACATTCTCTAGCCTCATCCTATCTAACTAGCCATCTAATATCTAACTAGCCTCGTACTATCTAAGTGGTAATTACGACCCTAAACTCAAACGCGCCCTTGAAGCGTATATCCGGCAAAGAAGTCCAAAATAAGAGAGCTCGCGTTGAATGTAGCAGGTCCCGTCCCATGCGCGATCGAATCAGCATTAGGGATAGTAGCAGGCCATGAATGGTCAACATGATTCCCGCTATACACAAGCCGCACCAAGTCTTGCGTATCTCCGGATCCGTAACTGTAGATCGTCGCATTATCCGCAGCACCCGAGAGCGCTCCCACAGCCTCCGGCTCACTCGCCAATCCATCTCGCGCGGCCCACTCCTCCACAAAATGCGGTATGAAAGGCAGACACTCTCCAGAGCGCGGGCCACCGCTATACGGGATGGTATGATCGTCTCCGCCATGGAAAACGAGCATGGGGGTGTGTTTTCGATCAGGCTCGCAGGCAGCGGATTTTAAGGTAAGCGGCATGCATTCCGCTTCGGGGACGTCGACATAGTACGCCCCTGAGACAGGCGCGAACGCCGCGAAGCGCCCCGACGAGCGTGCGTCGCACGCCAGGTTGTTCGTCATCAGCCCGCCCTGCGACTTCCCCGTGGCGTAGATGCGCTGCGTGTCGATGCAGAACCGCGCCTCCATGTCTTCCAGGATCTCGAGGACGTACGCGACATCGTCGACGTCGTCCGGTACCTGCGGCGCGCCCTGCCAATAACGCCCTTTGTTCTTGCCGTATTCTCCTGAGGAAGGATATACGACGATGTGGTGGTTTTTCTCGCCGCTGGAGAAAAACGGCGTCGTCAGGAGGTCGAGGTCCGCCTGCGACTCTGGCGTCCTCGTGGCTCCGTGAAAGGATAAGATGAGGGTGGTCTCCTGATTTGCGTCGTAGTTTGGTGGCACCCAGAAGAGATATTTCCTCCCACTAGGAAGAGTGGCGTTGAGCCGCTTGTTGAGGGCAACGTCTGGCTCCTGACTACACCCGGTAACACTGTTTATAGAGCCTCGGTTTATGACCGAGCCTGAGCTCATCCCAACGAGGGCTAGTCCCACCTTCAAGAGCTTCGATACAGCCATTGTGATAGAGGTCACGACTTAATAAGTGTAATTCATACTTAGGTAACAGTGTCTGTGAGATTGAGAGCAGATGTCACGTCGTGTCCGCCCTCTCTTATATGGATTTGTAGCTCCTGGCCTAAACTTGATTTGATTTCAGATCAGTGGTGTTTCACAGGCCCCTCCGCATGTTATGTCAGATTTTGGGTCATGGTTGACCTTCAGGAGAGTGTATGTGCCGGTGACCCGGCCGTTCTTGATTTACCGCATTCTCCCGAATTATCAGAACAACGCGCTGTTAGATAATCAACGTGGCGCTTTCTTGATTAGGGTAAATTCCCACATAAATTTGGGCTCTTATTTGATCCTTAGGCTGAGAATAGTGGGAAAATTACGTGATAGAGTAGAGGATGCGATATCTGCATGTGGCTATTCCCGCATGACCTTCCTGCAGCTTGGTTGATACTTCTCTCATGCTGACATGCGGTAGCGTGTTGATTGCTGCCGTCATGCCGAAATCATTTACCTTGTCCACGGCCCTGGAGACAGTGTTTTGGTACTGCTAAAGTCTCGGTAATTATTGCACCAGGAGACCTTAGGTTGCGATACTCACAACGTCTAGCACCTAGCGCTTCCCTCACTGTCTCATAGTCTCAAGTTGGTTAACTGAACTCTCAAGAATTGCATGAAATATTCATTAACGGACTTTTCGAACTGTTTCCTCAATCGATCGTTACCATTTTCTGAAAAGAAGGCTCAATAGGTCATATCAGCCATGAAGTGTGTGAACAAGTAATACACACATGACCGACGAGAATACGTTATTGAAGATAAATTGACACTGCGTTAACACTGTGATAAGTGGAGAAACTATGAAGAAAAAGCTCCTCACCAGAAAAAAGAGTTGAATTGCGCAGGCAAAACTTAAGTGTATTAATTACATATAACTCAGGTTGGTGAGCTTGAGTGGCTGTCGCAAATGTCAGTTTCATGCCAAGGCCACGGTCATTCTTGCATACTCCTTCCATGACATTGACTTAGAATGGTAATCCAGCAGTGGCATGGCCTTCCATACTCAGCCTTCCCCAAGTTCATTCCTTAAAATCGAAGTTGTTTGATATCCTTGTGTGTAGGCCCTGGCCCCGCTGGTCGAGCTCCGTGACTATGAGAAATCGCAAGCGACTCAAGCAATAAAGCAGATATTTGCTACAAGTGACTCCGAGGCTACCACATTAGAAAAAGCTTGGCTTAGTGAGGACGCGGTATTCGACATAGTCTTCCCCGTCAATAGTAATAATAGCGCCCTGGCTCACGAGCTTCCCCGAAAATGGACCATTTTGTTTTCGCTCATACTTAACCCCCATATGAATCTTAGCGTCCTCAATTCCAGCACGAATCCGACTTTGCTCCTGGGATGCCCAAATCTTCTGCATCCTGTCGCGGTTTTCTTGGAAATGATGCCGATGATGATCCACCGGCTCAATTGGAGTTGGATTTCCCACCGGGTATCTGCTCTGATGTTGTCTATCGTGTCGCATCTGGACAGCTTCCATTCTGGCAACCTCACGCGAAGCTAGACCCTGCACCCTGTCAACAGGGTCTATGCTCGTAGGACGAGGATAATGTTGAATGGTCGGATCTGGAAGGGGGTGTCGGAGCACAGGGGCTTCATTTCGAGGCAAGACATCGCGCCGGGGTTGGTTACGCAACTCATGGCCTCCAGAGTTAGGCTGGACATTTGCGTGTTCCTGAGTCTCCTCTCTCTCTGCGGCCATGGATTGACGGGCCAAAACACTTCCAGAAGAAGTTTGCCCGCCGCGGTTCATATGCGCTACACGGGTCTGAGCTTCAAATACGGCCTTAGTTTCATTGTCAACTTTTTCATCTTCTTTTTCTCCAGCATCGATCTGGCTCTGGCGAACGCGGACATATTCTTTCATCTCAGGCCTGGTTAAATGTGCAATGTGACGTAGAAACATGACTTCTTCATACGGGATCCACAAGGCACCGGCTCCAGCGGGAAAATTGCCGTCCACATAGCGACCATCTAATGTTTCACGAACTAGCTTGACTCGAAACATATCGTTAGCGCCTAGAATACCGTACACGGCATGTCTCTCCCGATCATCCTCCACCGCCGATTTGGCCCAACAACCTACGAGGATGCGAGTAGGCCGAGTACCGGGAAGAGAATCTAGCATTCCTGGGTAAGGTGGTCGCACGGCTCCAGTAGGGGTGGCATTTGTAGCAGGCTGGGTGGGATTGGGGGTTTGTGGTTGCCCTGGTACACTGTTGGGAGGGCGCTCCGGAGCAAGACTACCGTTAGTACGACGACGCTTTGCGTCATGGCGGCTAATTTGGGCGCTGTCGGGGATCTCTAAACCATAGGCTATAGAAGGCAGCTGGGCCGTTTCAGGAGCAGGGGCGGCCTGGAGACGACGGCGCGCTTCATTGACGGCAAGAACCTGTGCTTCCTTTCGAGCTTCCGGGGTTTCACTGGGAGGCGCATCAGAGCGAATCTTCACATACTCTTTGATTTCATTGTGATCGAGTCCAACAAGGTGATCATCGAAGACAATCCTCTCAAATGTGACCCAACTACCTCCAGGACCAGGCGGAATTGGGAAAAGACGAGAATTGATCATTTCCCCTGAGCGAGTCACGTTTTGAATACGTGTACGCAGGCGATCCCTAACATCCATAAAACCGATGACTGAATGTTTGGCATTTGCATTTGGAACGGGCGAATCGCGCCAATATCCCAAAGTAATACTTTTGGAATCGCGAGCGCCTGCGACCGCGGGTTTTCCCTGACTACCACGAGGTGTACCGACGTCGTTCGTATCCTCATTGACGCTCGTGTCCATCTTGTCCTCACCTAGGTCACTATATAGAGAGGCGCGCTTTCGCTTTGGATAATGAGATATGGGTTCTTCGTCCTCAGCATTAGTGGCATCAGGATCTTCGGCATCTGACACAACTCGTAGAGGTGATGGTTTATCGCCATCGCCATGAGTTCCAACTATAATCTCATCGCCTAGCATGTCTGGGTTTACACTTGAAACAGAACTTGAGTCCGGCGGGCTTAAATCCGCACCATTAGCGACGTCGTCTTCGTCAACCTTGGGAGGATTAAGAACAACTCGACTACCGCCAAACATCGTTAGCACTCCATGACGATGAACTTTTTGGTCAAATCGTGAATGAGTTAAAATATCAATGCATAGCTACTAGTCGCGTACAAAAAAGCAAACAAAGTTGTGATGGCTTCAAGTAGGCATGCTCAAGTTGCTGAAGTAGCAATAGCTATGGTATAGCAACCTTTGAGATAAATAAACGATGGCATGTAGAGTTCGATGTTTTGTGATGTCAGAGTGATGTGAGATTTGTGAAGGGATAATGAGATTGAGGTGAACATCAAGCTCTGCCAAGAGTGGCTTCTCACATGAGCCCAACAGGCCAATGAAAGAAAGAAAGAAGAAGAAGAAGAAGGATAAAAAAAAATTGTGACAGAGATGTACAGAATAAGCGAGTAATTACAGATTCCCACGGTTTCGCGGCTTTGCCCAAATCCAGGTGAGGTATAAAGAGTGAAGGGGATGAATTGCAGGTCCTTACCGGCGTAATTGATAGCGAATTTTGCGTTGGATGATCATACTCGATCAATTACCGACATCTAGCAGAATGAACTGGGGGAGGCGAGTGGAGGGGGCCGGATCGAGGCAAGGGACAATGTGCAGTGGTGTGGATGTGTGTGTGTGTGTGTGTGTGTAAAGAAGACCTAGTATAGAGTTTGCGAGAAACGGCAGTGGCAGGTAGAGCGAGGGGGAAGTTGCGGGTAGGAAGCTAAAGACCTGGTTGCAAGGCAATCGCGGCCGAGCCACGAAGTCTATCTGCTGCCGGACGCAGCCGACGAGTAAAACCAGGCCGGCCCGTGACAGACAGAGTGAAAGGAAAGAATGCGAGAGGACTGGAAAGAAGCAAATGATAGACCGCTGCGCAGCCGCGACGCCTGAAGACAAGAGCAACAATAGGAGATGGAGGGAGACGAGGGTAGTAACAAACAGAGAAGAGAATTGAATAACTTACAAGCCCGCAGACGAGTCTCCGTCGGCTTTGTCACCGGTGATAGGTGGCGGCACGACTTTCGGCTCATCCACACTCGCGCTATCCATGGCGGAAGTGTGGGTTTGAGGTTTGGGTGTCGGATCGTTCATGAGGCAACTGATGATGGTGCTACCTGTGACGTGTAGGCGCTGGCAGCGAATGTGCCCGTTCACAGAAAGGCTACTACTGATTAAAGGCGAGAGAGGCCACTCGAATGTGATCGCTTAGGCCTGACTCTCCAAATACTACACGAAGGGATTAACAACTGTAGGGCTGAGGGCAACAGAGTCTACCACACATAAATATTAGTAAAAAAAGGTTGGAGAGTTGTGACGATGATGGTGATGACTCTTAACTATGGAACGTGAATGGTATACGCGAAAGTGCATTGAATAGGAAAAGTTAAACTTTCAATAGTCAGGTAAGTCAAGGAAGGCGTGGGCCAGCTGCCTTGAATGGGGAGCGCTCGGGGCAACCAAAAGACAAACAAACCACTTACTCGGCTAGGAATGATAAGCCTATAAAATAATTCGACACAAACGCAAGACCAGCAGTGAATGGCCGAATTGAATGCGTTGTGAAGTGCGACGCCCGGGCCTATATAATCAAGCCGGGGTATATGCGCGTTGCTTGTCAATCTTGCACGATATCCGCAGACAATGACTGATACACTGGACTGCTCGAGAATTCACGCCTTGTTCTGTCATCTCGAAATTAGTTATTGAATTAGAATGGACGGTTGATGATGCAATTGTATTAAGAAAGAGACGAGGAGTATGGGATGTCAATGGGATTTCTGATGATGAGTTAATATGGCATCTGCGTAGGTTAGGTAAGTTGAGGTGAGGGACATGCCTGCGAATAAGCCTCGAGCTGAGAATTTACGAAAAGCGGGGCGTAGTTGAAAGCAATGCGAGGCACAGGCACAGGCACAGGCAGAGGCAGAGGCAGAGGCAGAGATAGAGGCAGAGACACTGCTTGGACGACGACAAGTAAATGCGACCGTGTTCATCTCGCACTACCAAGATGATATCAACGGCCGGTGCAATATAACGAAATGTGGGGCATTGGATCGAACAGGCTGTCTGCTTATGGAAATACCCAAGTTGGAATATCCAAAATCTCAAATAGGTCAAGGTAGTTCTTCCGATGCGTAGTAATGTCAATGGGCCGAGTTGACCTGGTTGGTGACAATGGAGAGTTGGGGAGAAAAAAATGAACAGTACTTCGTGATGACAAGGGTAATCAATGAAGTGCTTGAGTGCTGAAGAAGAAGAGGAAGAAGAAGGGGAGGGGGTGACTGTTATGAGGATAATCAAGCGTGTAAGCTGGTACGACTAATGGGCATGATGGGTCTACGCGGTCGGAAGGTGAAGCAAGCTCGACAGAGCAGGTATGGATGCAGGGGTTATAACGCGACTCAAGAATGCAGCGCAACTCAATGAGCACGCGCGAAGAAGGGAAACTGGAGTTTCGACTATTGATGCAAAGGGGGGGGAAGAGGCAACTCCGGCGGCGACATACCTGATGGCAAGGAACCTAGAAGTTTACTACTATGGAAGGGATTCTGGTTGTCAGGATCATAGTTAATGGGCGAAGAGGAGTTGCCAACTGTGGTGGTTGACCATTGATAGGTTAGATGACAGACAACAGGCCACGGATGACACGAGATACCCCGGTAGGTAAGTCTAGTCTGATGTAAGTCGGTAGTTTAGGACCGGGTGGGCGAGTATGTGAGAACAAACGAACGAGGGGAAAGGCGATGGAAACAGGAGAGAGAGAGGTAAAGTTTAGGGTAAGTAGGTCAAGTAGGTCAAGAGTAAGTAAGTAGAGGGAGTGGGACGGGTTGGGTAGTCAATTAAGTGCACTTGAAGTGCATAGGTAGATCAAGGGCAGGCTTGGTATGGTAAGGCAAAGAAAGGAAAGGAGGGACAAGAGTTGGTTGGGGTTTGGGTTGGTAATTGGAAAAGGAACATAGGAACATGGGAACATGGGGTAATAATAATGGGCAAATGAGCCGGCAAAAGTAAAAGCAAAGGAGAAAAAAAAAAAAAAAAAAAAAAAAAACTTAATCAAAAAAGCACACAGTCCCAGTCCCAGTCCCAGTCGCAGTGCCAGTCCCGTCAGTTCGTTCCAAGTCGCTCGCTCGCTACCTAACGTCGTCCAGCTACCAAGACTACAATAATGTAGGTACAGTCAGTCGCTACGAGAAACCCTGGCAAGCTTTTTAGAAACAAACTAATCAACCCTCTTTCAGGCTAGGCTTATCGTCGGAACCCTCGCAGGGGTTGTTAGTTCCAGGGGCCCAATCGCCGTTGGCCATTGTTGGTGCGTCTGTGTCGTTGGGTCATCGTCGTCAGACAAGTGCTCACCCAAATGTCAGGTACTTGCCTCCAGGAGCTACCGAGGTACCTATACTTGCGCGACCACCAAATCGCCTTCGCCAACCGATGCGACGCAGGTACCTACATATGTACTTCCCTACCTACCACCTGCCTACCAAGCAACCTTAAAATACATACATGTAGGTAAGTAGGTACTAGAGTATACCTACCTACTAAGTACATACATACATACATATATGTATGTGTGGTAGGTAGCTATCATAGCTATCATAGAATGTCATGGCATAATACAGGGAGTATAGCATACTAAGTATACATAAATAAGTAAGAGGCCGTACCCAACGTATTACCTCCCCGTATAGTATTCCTACATAGTGATCAACCCCAGCTTTGGATGGCCTGGCTCTCTCTGTTGTCGGTTGGTATTAGTTAGGTCTGGTGCGCAGATACCGAGGTAACATCTGGCGACGGCACCTACATCCAACAACAATAGCACCAATAGTAGGAACAACACCAAGAGGCGTAGGAGATGGAGATGGGAACGTATATTTAGTTAGGTATGTTGTACTTGCCCAGTAGATCTTTCGAAACCACTAATTAGGCAGAAGCCCAAGGTGATTGAATGAATGACTAAATGACTGACTGAAGGATTAGCTGACAGAATTGACTTAAGTAGGAACTTGACGCCCTCATCTACCCACTACCTATATTATATACGCACGTACACACACACCCATACGCGCATAGGTATATATCTATATATATACATATACATATATGTATACAATACCACGTAGGCATAGAAATATATATGCTCCTGGCACAACCTCAGACACACTCAACTGGTGGATGTGAGAATCAACACTTTCATGATTACACCTGATTGGATGGAGTTGTCATCCCTTGCGCGCTTTACGCTACTAGTGTAGGTAGACTGGCTGACGTGACCCGATGCAAGTAATAATCATCAATCCCATACCCAAGTATGTCCGTCAGACTGGGGGGCATGATGGTTATTACATGTATGAAGCACCATCATACAAATCGGCAGATAGACGGATGCTCACTACTGCTGTAAGTACACGTGGTGTCACGTCTCGCATGTATATGAGAGGGCGAGGAACTGTCGAGTCCCATTGCTTGGCTGGTTCTTGATGATCAGATGGTCAATCAACATCATATATACTATATACTAATACCTGCGTATGCATACACATTACCTCAAATTTAGACTAGATGAGACAATTATGTTCTTCTACCGTAACTGGCAGGGTGTACTAGGGGTGCGTCAATCTAGCGCCAGGTCTAGTCCTCCTGGTCCTCATGGTTTAAAGTGGGCGTCGATTAAGCTCGGAGTTTGCGACGTCGTGACGCTGCAACATGGGGTCAGTATAGCCAGTTCCCATGCCCGAAGTTATTACCGACCGCAGCAGCTATCAATTCGTGTATTCGAATTTCACCATATTGGTTATATTACCTCCCTCCTATGATGTAGTTATTCGGTAAAATCGAGAGACTATGGTGAAGCATGCGCACACGTCTAAACTATATAGCCTACCTAGGTAAGCAGGCACCTGTTTAAGTCATTTAAATTCTTTGTCACGAGGATTTAGCCGGAATGAGCGACGGCTTCCATCCTGTTCGGCATTAGAGAGTTTGAATCTATCAAGATCGAGCAAAGGGCAGGGATTGTTGCTGCGTATTTGTAGTATACGATGATATGATGTGATAGGCTATGTATTACTGTAATAAGTCAAGTAGATATTACATATGCGTAGGAATTGTTAGTGAATATGAATCAAGCTGAGAAGGTTTAGGCCCGCACTAACTCTTCAAGGGTTGGGCAACCCTGGACAACCAGAAAGGCACGATATCAAAGTCTGATTGCGTGCGCTAAGCAGTCTTTTTTTTCCCCCGGCTTTTTCTTTATCTGATACTTCTTTGGGGGCGTTCTTCACCCTCTTCTTTCTGCCTCCCGGGCCCGAGGTTTGTTCAAACGGTTTGCTTTGCCTGACCCTTGTTACCCAAGTTCCAGCCGGTGGAGAAGGCATTTATCGAAAGAACGGCGCATAGTCCGGGTGTCTGTCCGGGTGTAGCCAATATAACGAATCATATAACCCAAAAGGGGGTCGATTGATTCTCACTGGATTGGAATGTGACACTCCCTCCTGCTCATTGGAATAAATTCCCCAGCAAACCTCAAACGTGTGACTAACGAGAATTTGCTCAGCCCCCAATGTTGTTGCAAAGGTGCCGAAAGTGCTGAATACGAAGCATACATTGGGTAACCAACGGCAGCCACAGCGTGAAAGACAAAAGACGTTATGTTTGTAAGTGACCAGCTTGACTAATGATCTGCGCCGGATCTCCTCGATTTAATGAGGTGGGGATCGCGGGTTGCTGTGATTCGTACGCCGCAAATGTGTTGCGAAAGGTGGCTGGGCCGTAGTGTAGGCATTCCTAGGTTAGTTTCAATGGCCAATGCATCATGTCAATCCATATTCCACCCACAATAGTGTAGCAACCAGGTGTTGGGAGTAGCCGTGAAGGAATCAATTACGACCGGATTGGGGCGATGCACGTACAACCAACCAACCGAGTTGTTCCCGAGCTGACAGGCTCAAATATAGCCTACATGTGTGACTCTAACCTGTGCAATACACTACAACCTCCTACCTAGGCAAGCAGGTACCTTTAGTCCTGGCCTTTGGGTGATTTTATTGATTTATCAAGGATGGATGTGCGTATGCCTAGATATAGGCGAGAGGCGATAACAGAATAAACCAGATTAATAACGCCATCTTGCTGCATCCATCCATCCCTCGTTGCCAACGTGGCCGAAACAGCACAGAGGCTAGACAGTTAGTTATTACCGCATTGAGCGAATTATTATTAGCCAATGTAATAAAGGGTTGGTATCAAACCGTAGCAGGTTGTAGTAGTCATCTGTACGACCTGCCCTTGGGCAACTATTAGTGATGATGCGTAATGGAATGGAGAGAGATGCATTGCTGTGCAACCTAATCTACCGAGGTAGAGAGTGTCGTGAGCGAAGGAGCTACCTAATAGGCCTAATAGGAGAGCCGAGAAAAAACATTTTATTTTGCCCAAGGTTGCAGGCTGATATGACATGTCACGTTGGTCTTGTCAAAAGCAACGCCGAGTAGAACCAGATATCCGGAGCTAGTTTCAGGTAACGGCATAACAACAAATCGGCAGATGCGCGACCGGTAGTCAAGTACTGGTACACATCCCATATCCAAGATCCACGTCCAGATGCAGATGAGAAGATACAGATACGTGCAACACGATGCGAAGGGCGATTAATCAGCCCGATGATTACTAGATAGGCTGTCAGACAATAGATAGCTGAGTTACCAGTCGACCAGTCAGTAGCTGTCAAGACTTTGATGTGTGCCTGGGCTCATTGACGCCAAGACGAACGCGAATACTCATCAACGGACCGACCTGGGTGGTAGACGTGATTCTGCTGGCTCCCTCTGAGTGGAGACAAGATCCGAATGATGGCATTGAAACAACCTGTTCTAGACTTCCAGCCACAGTGAGAAAATCCTACGATTGTCATGTGATGCTTCACTTCTTCATCTTCTCCCTTTACTTACCAACCGCCCAATAGGCAGTACCGGGATAGGCACATCTCGTATGCGCCAAGCTCAAAACTAACGTCGTTTTTAACACATGTCTGCATTCTACATTCCTCCTCTCAACGCCGGGGCGCAAGCAATCATGGGAAAGAAAGAAAAAGAGAGAGAACGCTCTTCCCAGTAAATAATGTCGCACATGGGGCCCTTCTCTGTGCCACCTCGGGCTCTGCTCAACACAGACGAAGTACTACCCGGCACTTGTCCTAGGTCACTGATAGTCGGCCGATTCAGTGTTTCGATGGTATGACAAACTGCTGCAAACATGCGGCGAAAGAGACTTTCGTCTTATCGCGTCCTTTTTTTGGCATCTGATTCCAGGATTACATATCTGGTGACACGCCATCTGTGCAACGCTCGTGAAATGAAGAGAAAGAGAGGAAGAGATGGAAAAAGTGTAAGAAGGACGGTACCAATAAGAAACGACACTGTGATCAGCATGAAACCCCCAACTACTTGTTTCATATCAAGTCGCGCCAGGGAGTCTAAAGCCAACAGCAAAGAAGAAGGCAACGGCAAATGCGCCACCAACAAAGGCTTCAGAGATACGTGTTTCAGTCACTGTAGGTACAAGTCGGAAAATTGAGAGAGCGACTTGTACTCAAGGCGACCCAACGGGCTGCCGTAATTCCCGGGACAGCGATTGTTTGCGGGGTGCAGGATTTCAACAAACAGTTGTGCAATGTAATTAACTCGGTGCCAATCTTAGCTACCATCGGATAACAAAGCCATCATCGATCCACTTTGTGTGCGCCGTCTCGCAAAGTAGGCCTTCTCGCATCACCGCCCCTTCCCGATAGAAGATTAAAGTGTTCACAGGATGCCTCGGATCGCACTTCCTTTGACAAAGTCCTCTCCCTGAGAGGTTGACCAACAGCTTCAACGCCGCCTTCGCCGCACAATTAGCTACTCGGATGATTGACGCCGCAAGGCAGCATCATGAGGTCCACAGGTATCCAGCCGAGACTACTAACAAGACGCATCTTAACGGCAAATTTTGGAATGATTCGTTGAATGTTTTTCAGGAGTTTATATATCAATCTCTATTGATGGCACAGCACAGCACTCTATACGGTCCGCAACTAGGATACGCGCTCGAATATCAAGAAGTTGTCGGTCAAGCGTCATTACGATGCAACCTTACAAGATAAAGTCTGCCCGGGTATGTGCCTTGGTCGGTGTCGTCCAGTTGCCCTTGCCACTAGTAGACTTACACATGTAAACATGGTTCTCAGAAACCAAAGATAGGACGAATGACGAATTGTGCATGTTAGTGTTAGTAACGAGCAAGAGCCAACAGCATAACTCTAATTGGGCCGGCCACATGTGAATTTTCGGATCGGGCTGCGGCACAAACATGTTAGTGACAAGGGATCCCCTGCATTTAAGAACCTGCAGGAACCCCAATACCCATCACCGGGCTCGCCGAAGACAGTTTTCTCTTTCTCCCTATTTCTAGATGAGACTGCCATCAAGATATTCCCACGCGGATGGAATTATGAGACAAAATACAGAGAAGAGGGGGTGGAGCGAGACAGAGCAAGGCTCTTCAACAAGTGAGGGCCAACAAGCATACCTATTGCTTGGTGATATTCTCTTTAATGGGCTCTCTGTGTAATTGAACAACAGTAGCCGTGGTGAGATGCGCACAGTTTGCGAAAGTTCCATGGAATTGAGTCTAGCCTTGCGCATAGTTGTTGCCAGCTAAGGATGAGGCTCAGTATTCTTAGTTGACTTCTACTTACCTGCATATACTTGTTAGGCAAGTATGACTCGAGTTTGCTTGCCACGGGCCTCAGTTTACAACATGACTTCGGGTCCTCATACTGCGATATTTCTCTCATCATGAACAGGCAAGTACGAGGGCATGGTATCTGCAGCTTCGTAGTTTTATCGAGGCACTAGGTGGCCCCTGCAATGCACCAAGCGAAGATTGGCCTCGTATCTGGTACGACTAATTGATGGGAAAGGGAAACAATGCATAACTAGAGCTTGAATGTATAACGGTATATAGGGACTGTGGATTCAACTTTTTACATTAGCAATATACCTGTATTCAGACCTTGCTCGGAAATTTATGTTACCGACAGGGCACCCTCGGGGAGGAATTTCGAGTGAAAACAACGGGGAGAATCAACCTCCCTGGTACCATGCTTGCCCTGAGAGCCGGGCGTTTCCTGAGAACTAAGAAGGGGTGTTATGAATCGAACGCGAATACTGTCTGTAAAGGCAGCTTGAACAGACGAAGCCAAAGCGGGTAGCGGAGATGTAGTGAATACGCCACCTCCTTCAGATTAATGATCAACTTTTTTCAGCCCGCAGTCCGAACGCCTCTCAAGTGACATATCCCCGCTTCATGAAAAGGTTTCCCGTCTATCATTTGATAGCCGTTTCGCTCTAGAAAGGTACCCTAGGATAGGTAATTCCGAAGTGTTACGTCATGTGCATGTGGCTACCTACAGAGGCACCTAGATCTCCCTCCGGACATTCCCCCAGTTCGGCCTAGGAGGCATGAACCTAGCAAGATATTGAGTTAAAACTAGGTATTAGAAGTATACAGTATGAGATTGGTAACTAGCAGGCTTCAGCTTCATCTAGTATACTCTAGGAGGGAGCATGTGACTATCATACCGGTTGCTTTTTGTTGAGAGCTGATTTAAGACATATCAGCTACAGTAGGTAAAGCTGGTAACAAGGGGTATCTTTGGCGGTTAGTTTTTCATGATGAAATACCTGATTCTCTTTGACCCCCTTTCTCTCCCTGCCACGTCGTGCTGTTTTCCCGCGTAACTGCAGCTTCGTTCATTCACGTTGCCGACTTGGCATCTCTATTTGAGACTCTGATACGATCGCGAATGTCTGTGGCTAGCTACGTGTCTTGGCTTTTAGAGTAAGTGACCGCTTAGCTGCTCATGTGATTTTGTTCGTGCCTTGGCCCTGACGTCCCTCTAGAGATACCTAGGAAAGGAGTTGGAGGGCATAATATTTCGAGGTAACATAGATGTCTCACAGACAAGGGCTTAGATAGCTTTTCGATGCTCCAGAGCATTGGGTCACGTTAAAAGTATCTCCCCAAACAGAAACCATCGTCGAACTATGGCTAGGTGGCAGAAAAGGGTCTCAAACCATGATGCCTATTTCGTGTCCTTGGCAACAGGTGCTGTAGTTATCATACCCTTGGGATGGGCTTTACGCTATCAGCAATTTCCAACTGCTAATTGGTCCCTTTGGGCTAGTTATTGTAACCATGGTCCAGGTTCTTAGCCATCGGAGAAACAACGTAGGGGAAGTGAAAGTTGCCAATCAAATACCTCCTAAATGCCTAAGACTGATACTTTCCTACAAAGGTGGGAGTTTGAAGATTACTGTACCTACATGTAGACAAGAAATCACAAAGCTTCTGGAAATGAATCAGGAAGTCTGGATGAAACACTCTGGCCTGAAAATAGCTCAAGAGCAGTTCTGTTCTATCAAGGTAGACCGTGAGCTAGGAGGGTGGTTCAAATTAATGATAATGTGAAAGAACAGGTGTTAGTGTATATATATTCATGTAGCTTCGTGCTTATGATGCCGTTTTAGCTTTCTAAACCCAGGCCTGATAAGATTGAGAAGTCAGTCCATGAGCCGAGAACGGAAGATTAGCAGATAGTTCATCGGGTGAGAGCCACATGATAGTTGCGAGATTTCGGTGAGACTTACAAGTGGTCTCTTATTGCCAATCCCTAACATTAGATACCATCTTCTTCAAAACAATGATATCGGGTTTCAGATGCACTGAATATGAATTCGTTGTCAAGCGGTGCTGACCGGTGAGAATGGCGGGCTTTACCTACACGGCTCATATTTGAACGATTCCGCAAAGAATTACGTAAGTTGCAGCATTTGGTCCGAGGCAGTGCGAAGATGGTATCTCATACATTAAAAGGAGTAAGGGGCTGTCATGATCTATCCCCCTCTCCCTCTGCCCCTTCCTCTTCCACCTCCACGTCCCCTTCCTGCTCTCCCACCCCTTTTCGCCTTGGGACGTACGCCCACATTTTCATACAGCAACTCCTCACCGAACGCCATCTCGCCAAACCTCATGTAACTAATCAACCCACGATCCACTATAGCAACAACGGCGTTGCGCCATCCGTGCTTAAGGCGCTTGTATACGGCGCCTGCCCCTTGTCTTCCCTCGTCTTTCTCTGGCGGATCCCATGGCGTAGATAGGAGTAGAGTGTCTAATTGTTCGAGGGTTGGGACGCTGGAGTCGCGTGCGTCTACAACTGCCATCTGGAAGTCAGGTGGCGGCGGCTTTGTCTTCACAAAGGGCGAATTGCTCTTCCAAATATGGAAGAAAATCTTGAAGGGAGCTTGTGGTTGAGGTATCTCAGACGGTAGAAGAGGAGCAGGCTTGTGTCGCTGTGCAAGAGCCAGTTGCTCGAAGATAGGTATATACGAACGATATAGGCCGGGTCTCACCAGTGGGCCATATCCTGAACAAGTAGAGCGCAGAGGAAAAGGCTTCTGTATAAGTGAATAGAGCCATTGCCAAAGTGACCGTGACGTTTGAGATGAGGGTGGCCGAGGTGCTAATGGCGTTGCGCGAAGAACTCTGTAACCTGTTCGTCTGAGATTGGAGTATACTTGGTATTTCTCAAGACTGATCTTGCCTCTTTCTCCATCTTTCCCGATGAAAAGCGCATACGCAGCTTGTAAACTCAGGGGAATCCCAAGCTCATAGTCCTCAAGCTTCCTTACATCCTCCTGCGATTCATCTGGTCCCTTCTCGACCGGGAAAACCTCCTCGATCCCTCGGACTGGCCACCATAGATCCAGGGTTCCTCTTTCAATCAGGAATAATGCTTCTTCCGGTAGTAGCCATGTCTTTGATCGTCCTGGACTGAACTTATCGGCAGTTGTGACAACACGGCCCGTCGACGTCAGCATGGTACTTTTATCCGCTTCGATGGCAACGACTCGGTCCCTTGCAAAAAGGCCCCGGACTGTATCGCGACTATTGGCCATCCCACTACCTGATTGCTTATCGGTCGCGGCGTCGGGTATTGATTCACTTTCAGGTGGCATATCAGCCCATCGATCGGGAAAATACCATCCGCATAGAGCATTGCGAGGTTGATGTTGACGGGTATAGCTCAGGACCTCATGCATTGCCGAGCGGCTCGATTCGAGGACGCCCTCTTGCGCGCGCGTGCCATGAGACTCAAAGTCCTTCTCTCCACGTCGTATCGCCCTGCTAGAGGCCTGCGACTTCTTACCGGGGCCAGTAAGAAGCGATGTGAACATTCGAAAGTCTTGGGCCTGGTCGCCATCTTCGCCGTCGAGAAGGCCGTCGTCGCTTGCAGCATTGAGCGAGGCGAGGGGTATATCTTCATCGTCGAATGGCATCTTTGCGCTGGAAGCGACAAGTCGGGGAAATTGCGAAGACCGGGTAAATCAGTTGGTCGGTCATATGATTTCCCAAGTGGTCTGCGCTCATCGAAGCGTCCTCCTACAAGTTATGGATCACACACCCCTTCATCCTACAGTGTATTGCAGAGTGTATTGCAGAATGTCGAAAACGAGTTCCCAAAAGTCTGAGTCGACGCTAGAGGGGCAGAAGCTTAGATCCTAGCTCAAACTTTAGTGATACCGTAGCTCCCTGCCTGACATGCCCCGCTGATAAAGCTGTAGTGGGGCCAAGCATTACCTACTGCTATGTACCTAGGTATCTCACCTGGGTATCGATGGATGGATAGCATTTGGGAATTTGGGATATGAACAAAACAAATATTTAGAGTATGTTGGCATATATAGTAGTACTACTAGGTATTTGAGTACCCGGTGCATCGGTTTATACTCACAGAGTAAAATGATTGAAACAAGTTGATAACAGATAACAGAGATTTTGCCCAAACTCAACCTCGAACAAGGGAAAAAAAGCAAATTTCCCTACTACGGGATTCAAGTTTACCTAGGTAGACAATTAAGTCTACACATTGGTAGGATAGTTGTGTCAGTGGCTGATACAAGTCATGCTAAAACATGATGAACATAACAATACCCAACAGATATCATGTAGAGTATAAAACTTTACGACGCCATAGATTGCGAAAGTTATTATGGAGGGCAGTTACTCGATACAACTTATACCAAGACATGACGCACCTCCTCCAACAGAGTTCATATAACATACAATGAACAACATGGGAGTTTGGCCGAGTGGTTAAGGCGCTGTGTTTAGGCTTAGACTCGATCTAAACTTGAATCCCGCAGTGGGAAACCGCGCAGGTTCGAATCCTGCAGCTCTCATTTTTGATTTTTGGAGAACTTCCTCCCCAAGGAAAAGAGTATATCCGGTTCCCCTGTGTGAATTTTTGGTGTTTAAGGTTACGTAATCCAGCGATTACCTAGGCGCCTAGGTACTCCGCAGACCACCCGCCCAGTCTTGGAACGCCAAATTGGGTTTGCCAGTCTACCTAACATATATAGCATAGAGTTATAGAATAGGATGCATTAGGTTCGAGAGTAATACTTGAACTTATCTATAGCTGGGTATGTTAAACGTTTAGATTAGTAAGTGATTGAAGAGCATCCATCGTCTAGAGATGATCACGTTCATCTTTAGTGGCTGGTAAAATTTCCACATGTCGGTAGTCTTACAGAGCTTACACGACACCATCGCCACTTCTGACAGGATGAGAATCATGGCAATCTGAGAGTGTCCACATAGGATAGGTTACCTTCCTACAATGCCACACGCATTACCCAATCGCCTTGTCCTTTCATGCCTTACGTTCTTGCCATACAAAACAGCTGGTTGAGTAGACTTTGAATTATCTTCTGGCTCTTTGGCTCTTTCTACCGTCTGCGGACGGCTAGGCTAGACTAACTACTTCATGCCCACCAAACAGCCCCTGTTCCGAGATCAGCTCGTTGGGTGCTTTGCATGTGCCCGAATAACAGTAAGCCATTGTACCCTCGGTTGTTCCAGATATACACCCGTCCAATGCTCTCATAGGAACCCCCTAAAGTTGTAGAGCGCCTTCGGAGCCAGGTTCGTCGTTCAGAACGTTTAGTCCAAATATTCGTCCTAGCCCAACAGAGGCCGGCGTGATAAACCATCATAATGACCAGAACCGCCTATGCGCACATTGACCATACTGGGGAATCGCTTTATTCTTGAAACGTCAGAAACCGCTTCAATGCATGAAGACGCCTGAAAAACGCCAATGACACCGATGCGCCTCCCAGGCTTTCTAGACCATGCTTCCCTGCCGTGAACCACCCCGAGCACCCATCAACCCTTTCATTGCCAATCGCAACATTTGACCTGTCCTTCAAAACAAGCAAAGAACACAGCACTGTCGTGGGTCCTCGATATTGGTCCATTTATCCTTCGCTCCATATCAATCATAAATGTGGCCAGTCATTGCCGCAAGCTTGCAATTTGGCCAAGATGTAGAAGTTCCCAATGGCGCCTTCACTTGGCAGCGACCTGAACAGCTCCGGATTCCCATAATCCAAGGTCTCTGAATGATAACAGTAGATATGAATACCGCCTTTCGTGTGTGAGACTTGGGCCAGTATCATGCTTCAAACATTGGCTGTAGGCGTATAACATGATACCATATGATGGTCCCTGCTATAATTGGGACAGGGCAGTCTCGTTCTCTCCGTTTCATCAGGTGATTCTGATCATCTATGACCAAGAAAATGCAAAGCTAATATTCTGGTGCTTAACGGAATCTGGACTGCAGCGATCTCTCCCTATTGGCGGAGGCTGTTATTGCTACCAATTGCTCGCCACAGCATTTGTCATGCGTCATAACGTCCTTTCAAAACGTCATACTTAGCTTTTCCTCATTCAATCAATGGCCTTTTCTGCCCTCCTACGAGGCAAAGCCCTAATGTCGCTAGCGCGTTAGCATCGTTAGCTAATACGATATTTCGTGCTGGGAGCATGGGATTAGCATGGTCGACAGACGAAGCATCTTTCGCTGCTTGCTCGATAGCGTCCATTTCTTCTTTGCAGGCTTGGTGATCCTGGGGACAGATCACAATTGGCTGCCGAAGAGTGATATCTCGGGCTGAGGTCATGCTCGCCTGAAGATTTCGTATTAGTGACTGGCCACTGATTCCAGCAAGATCACAAAATCATGATAGCAGATACGCACCTTGATACTTAGAAAGAATTCTATTTTATACAGAGTCGACGTTGTGGTGAAGGATGTTACCTCGTAATTAGGAAACGCCGGCTGCCCCCTCCGGATGATTCCGTTTGAATCACGCAAGTCTTTATGCGGGAAAATGACATCCATATTGGTCACGTAGCCGTCCTCAGATAACTTTGTTCCCACATTTTGGACATGCTTCTGTATCCGGTTGACCTTCTTCGTCGGTTCGTCACCCTCGGGGTTGTAGGTAATCTCCTCCTCAATGGCCAAGGTAATGCTCTTCACTGTGACTTTTCTAGCTTTCGCCATCCAGTCTAGGTTCGGCGCCAGTTTGATATAAACGGTGATTGGGTCGGTGGGGCCATAACTCCATCTCGGTAATGATATAACAAGCGTGACAATATTATCAGTAGTTGCGATTTTAGTTTCCGGGCGGTTGTACATTCCAAAGGTTGATAATGTGTCGTATCGTTGTAAGGGAACTGGGAATGCATATTTGTTCTGCACACTTGGGCCCTGCTGTACCGTGACGACTAATTCATAGTACGTTTCAGCCGTCCTACTAGGAAGCTGTAACGATGCTGGCGGTATTCTTCTGCTTGTTTCTTCACCCCCTCGTCCGAACGGTATAAATAAGACAAAGGGTAAATCCATGGCGATAACATTCTCCGCCTCCCTACCAGAAGCGCATCTATATAATAACAGCTCTCTACCAACAACATCGGTCGTCTCCCTTCGGGGGGTACCAAGATGGCGCTTGGCCACATTTTCCGCGGCCGGATGAATGGTTTCTCTTCGTTGTAGACATATTCGGACAAGCGAGATGGCGATAGGAGCAGAAATACCCTGTTGTGGGCGAATCTCAACTTTGCCTTCTATACGCGGCTATAGGTCACGTTAGTCTACCATTTTTCTCCTTCGCATGCTAGCTGCTGCAAGAAATATCAAAACACGATGTACGAATAAGCTCCAACTACGACGCCTCTACCGAGAGAATGAAGATAGCAGAGGGTCCACAATGCGACAGCCATGTATCGATACCTAAGTTCAGACCGTCAAAGCCGCAAGCCACTTACCAACGTCGCTGAAATGCCTGGATATCCGACCAAGAAACTGCTGTTTGGTGGGCCCGAAACACGGACGAAGGCGGCCACTCGATCCGTCATGTTTCGTCGCACGAGAAGATCGTCATGAAGGTGGTGATGCTAGAGAATACCGGATACAGCGAGGGCGGGGTTGAAACTTAGTGACGGCAACAACAGCGGCGCAGTGTTGACCACATCTATGCCGTGTCTACGGCCGTGCGCCGGGGGACGGACGAGAAGAATGCGACGGTTGGATGGGTTCACGTTTGGCAAGGTCGGTGCAATTACCAGGGGGCTGAGAGTCGGTGTACGCGGCGGGTGGTGAGCGGTGGGCGGTGGGCAAAGATATCAGGCGATTGGGGACCTCTTCTCGGTAGTGGTTGTTGAGGTCGTTGGTAAAGTCGACGCCCACAACGGCCAAAAAGCCAATTTGCGGAGGGAGGGGTGATTGATGGGAAGCCGAGCTGAAGGCCGGTCTAGTCAGTAGTACTCTAGGTGGGCCTGTTTGTTTGGTGTTCCCGTCAACAGATAGCGTCAGGGCGGCGGCGAGTGCGAGTGCGTATATGAGTGCGAATGCGGCCGGCGGCGGAGATGGAAATGGGGAAAAGCAGCGTGTAGATTGATTGAATGATGGGTTGATTGCCGTTTACAAACTACACTAGGTAGAATTAGATTCCCATTAGTCTGCTAGGGCTGCGAATCGAATATCGCTCCACCACGGGTCCACGGCTAGTGCAGCGAATCCAGACTGTAGAGTAGGTATGCTGTGGCATAGACTGATCCAAGGACAAACCAAGAGCAATCAATCAGCCGGGGGGGATGAGGAGAGGGGGGGATAGAAGGTGAGGAGCAACAAATTGAGTGGCTGACGAAGACTGACTGTAGCATAAGGAAATGGGACTGCACCTATCAGCTTTTACCAATGTGGTCACGGCCGCAAGCTGATTTCCCCACGATGCGACAAGCCCTCAAACACGGTTCTTCGTGATACATGAGAAAGAAAGCGAATGGACGCAAAAACAAAGCAAAGAAAAGAGAAGAGATAGCGAGAGAAATAGGAGCTGACCTGTCCTATCCTATACTACAGCTGTCAGTGGTTTGGACTTTGCAGGAACCAACCTTCCTTGAACTACCTACCTAACTTCTAAGCTTTCTCTTCGACAGCACACACTGTAGCCGCAGTTAGGCGGTCAAGTACAGCACCTGTATCTTTGTATGTATGTATGTAGGTATGGTACGGGAAGATTCCGGATAACCAACCGAGATGAATACAGAGTTTGGATATCAGTAACGGTCATATGCTACGTGGTCTATGCTTAATAATACCTCACAGACCGTTGCTAGATGACAATTTCGAGGAGAATGGAATATTGCTGAATCCACAAGGTTCTCGTTCAGCCAAATCCTCATACCTACCTACATATTACTCCACCGTGGAACAACAGTGCACTACATGTGCAGTACATTCTATACCTATCTTAGCGAGAAGTTGAAGACTCTGATATACCTAACCAGGCGGTCAAGACTAGACTCCATAGGTAGACTCATATACTTGACCACATCTAAAATAAGATGCCCTGACAGCCTTGGATGCGAATTAAGTCGAATAGTATAGCTGAACGAGAAGCTGACAGACGGGCTCAGAAGCTGAAGGAATTGAGTTCGCCTGAAACTTAAGTAGGTTGAGTCTTACCTACACTACAAGTTCTTGAACCTATACAGTAAAAGTAGAAGATACCGAGCCCCTCTATATTTATCTGCCTTGGTATCGAAGAAGTCGCAAGAAATCACCGTCGAAGTATCATGAACATGCATGTCTTGTTGTTGTTAGGTGAGTTCCTAGTAATTAATGTAATCGTCCGGCCACGAACCCCAGTCCTAGGGGATAACGTAGCTACCTAGTAGCAAATGATGTCGATATGTAGGTCTACATGTACCAGCATCGTGGCCATCTGGCGTCTCAACACGTGGGACTGGAGACTTGTGGCACATCTCTTCACCATTTCTGACCATCCAGCAGGACTCACACTGTGATGTGACCCCTCTCCGCCAGACCTGGTCCTATTTCTAGATACTGATCTAGACTAGCCTAGGACTTTTTAGGTTGGGGACTAGGTAGCAGAGACAAGGGCCCGAGCTGACGTCTGCCGATTCATGCATACTCGCATACGTACTTAAAGTAGGTAGCAGCAGGGTTCCAATCCAAAGGCGCCCAGGAAACCCAAATAAGGCTGACTTGGGGTCAACTTGGCGAATCCCATTGCCTTCCTTACATACTTAAGTACAGTAGGTACGGAGTATAGATTACCTATCACCAGGCTAAGTAGACTGCCAATCAGGGCTTTGACAGGTGCCCGCGCTTGGGACGGTAGCATACGAAAGTTGGAGTCAAAAACATGCACTTTCTCTTTTAATTCTTATTACTTATGGGACTGTATGCGCATGTATGCGCTTCATATTCATTACCTACTCTCGGAAATATTCTTAGGCATCGTATTGATGTCACCGTGTCTCGTGTATACATATATACCTATCTCTTTATGCATTTACTATACCTACCACGTACCCCAGCTTGAGTGTGAAGCAGACTATTAGTGCTTATCAAAATTGCTTCAGCATCATCAGACAATCAGCAGGCAAGGAGTCATCTTGGTGTTCATCTATTCGCATCTTCCAAATCTATAATACAATTGCTTCACTCATTACATCGCGTAGTGAGTACACAAGATACCTATCTCGGTATCATTGTGGACAAATACTGAAGATGCATGTGGTACATGTCGATAGGTAGGTACTAGGTATAGGTAGCGCACGCTACCTGCTAGGAACGCGCTAATCGAACCCCCACCTCAAGTCAGATCAAGTGAGGTCATTGGTTGTTACCAAATAAGTATATGTAAGTACCCAGGTAGCCTACCTACCCGGACGCGGAGGTGGGTAGGTGTCAATGAATTCGGCATCTCCAATTTGTTAACATTTTCCTAGTTCTGTTGAATCGTTGCCGTTCGACTTGGTCGAGATCAGCCTGTACATAACGACCCTCACGAACATAATATCGAGCGGGGTCGCCAATCCGCTACGCCATGTCTGTGACCCTGCACACCAATCTCGGCGATCTCAAGATCGAGGTCTTCTGCGAAAGCGTACCCAAGACTGCTGAGGTTGGTACTCCATCCAGCTCACCGTGAATCTTTTACCAACACAGATTGAACTAATGAACTTTTTTGTAGAATTTCCTCGCTCTCTGTGCCTCCAACTACTACGACCAGTCCCCGTTTCACCGATTGATTCCTGGTTTCATGGTGCAGACCGGCGGCCCTGCGACCCCAACTCCAGATAATCCAAAAGGCGGAAAGTCGATATGGGGTGGCACATTTGAGGACGAGATTCGCCCGGCGCTCAAACATAATTCGCGCGGTATCGTATCTATGGCAAACAAAGGAGCGAGCACCAACGGTTCACAGTTTTTCGTCCTGTTTGACAAAGCGCCGCATCTCGATGGGCTCAATACGGTCTTTGGAAAGCTCTTGGGGGATGACAGCTTGAGGACGTTGGCGAAGCTGGAGGCCATCGAAGTTGACAAGAAAAACAGACCCAAGGAAAAGGCTGTTATCGAAAGAGTCACTATACACGCCAATCCCGTTGCCGGTTGAGATTCAGAATTCGAGACGGCTCTCATAATCAACATGTTAGCAATACTTCACCTTCGGGGCGCAAGGAGGAGACTCTCTAGATGTGCCTATTCCGGATCTTTCGATTCGCTAGTATGCTTGAGCCCTCACGGGAAGCTGTCATACAGTGTATCCCTTGGCTATCACGACTCGCATGTATGTGTATGTGTGGTTTGTGTGTGCGACTATTCCGATAGCCGGGTGGAGATTCTAGGGAACACCCGTCTTTTGAGCTAGGTATTATGAATTGCCGACCCTTCGTATCATGACACACCACAAAAGACGTAGGTAACGCCCATTATTCGGGAGGAGAGCGCCAAGAATTTGTTAGATAGGGTAGCTGATCGGCCTGGCACACTTCATAAAGCGACCTATCAGGATTCCGCCAATACGCCACCTCGGTTGTTTACCAGGGTGCCAGGTTCATGCGAAGCATTGAATCCTTTCTAGTAGATGGAGGCCGGAACCGCTTTAAAGCGATGGTCAGAGATGGTATATGGACCCCATGCGTTTGACCGCCTGGAAATCATGGCAAGAGGCAGCGGGACTCATTGTCATTCGTAATCAGGTTATTAAATACGTCCTAAACGCTCAATATGTAGTCACAATCTGACCATAAGCTGCCCAGTATACCAGGCGAGGTTAAGCTACGCACTCAGGTAGTGGATAGGAGAGAACTGAGCTGAAAGCGATAACCAATAATAGGTTCCCAAGTATGAAGATTAAACGCATTTCCTGACTCTACATACTGCAGTAAGGCTCAGGCGAGGCGCATTCTCCCTAAACCTCTTGGAACCGTGAAACGGCCATTGCGCATTTATGCATTGTTTTATGCAGAGAGAAATACTCCTTGGAACGGTTCGAGCCCTCAAAACCGTCCCAGCCTGTTTTAACCGTCAACTACAGTAGGGCAAGCGAACAAAAGCCCACCAGGACCATGTTGTCGATGGCAGGTTGCCCGGCATTACTGGAATTTCCAGCTGCTACTGCTGCTGCTGCTGATGGATTGATTCGATTAGACGTTTAAACGACTGATTTACTACCTATGATTATTCTTCCCGCCCTACCGCCCGTTTTCCAACTTAATCAAGATCGTAGGCCTAGAAAAATTTTAAGTATACGAATATTGGTCTGTTCACCGTTTTTGGTGCCCTCTTGTAACGGACCTGCTCTACATTACCTGAGAGGTAATAGAGGCAGTACGTCGGGAGGGTTCTTGATTTGAAGGTAATAATAGGAACTAAGACGGGTGTCCGTTAGGGAGGTTTAAGGGGACTCCCACCACTACTTATGCAGAGATAGAAGTCCGAATAGCAGTCTAAAGAGTGAATCTGATTGTAAGTTGATGGCTGAGGAACTATTCTAAAAGAGTGACTAGATATAGAGGGTATATTGCGATTATATAGACATAGTAAAATAGGTGCAACAGATCGTAGGTGAGTCGTGGCTCACGACGAGCCTAGTGAGCTGGGAAAAATTGGGGTTCCAGATCCTGGCCTCAAACAGGTCGGGCTAGAACCGTTTCATAACACCTCTCTACTTATGTCAATAGAGAGGGTCCTCCACGGGTAGATCCTCTAGTATATCTTTGAGCTCTACAATTATCTCCTCCTGGTGACAACATCTTGATGGCGACCACCTATCGATCCGCTCTCGGGCGTCTTAATACACAACCGGACAACCAGGAAGCTAACATGGGGATATGGCAGCACCTAGTCATCGCTCGTCTTATTCTGTCTTTCCGGGAAAAGAACGTGTCCAGCATAGTTCCCGTCCCCATCGTGATAGATATGCACGGCTTGGGACCTATCCAAGGCCTGCTGATCATCCGTCGCCAGGAGAACTGTGACATGCGGTCTGGGGTCCGTGTTACTGGTATGCGAAGGGTTCCTACCAACACAGTCAGCCTGAATACCTTCCACCTGAGGAGAAATGGTGACAGGGAGGACAAGAGTAAGGGGAAGGGACGGGAAGGACTAAAACTTACTTCAATGTCGCGTTCGTAAACATCGCTAGGTCAGACTGCTGGGTGGCCACTTCGATGAGACCCAGTGTCATTTTTCTTACTTGCACGTTTTTGATACGTTGAGTGAACCGAACTAGCTGTTGTGGGATTGGAGACATTAGACTAGATATAGTGCGGGCTTTGGGGTAGAGTATTAAGATTGAGGCAATGAAATATAAAGATTCGAAATTTTCGGCACATAGAAAGGCCCAAAATCAATCTAAGAGAATGGTCTATGCCGTGTTTGCACTCGAAAAGGGCGTATTGGAGGCTCGGATTGGAGATGTGAACTCAGTTCAACTGATGGGTTTGTCAAGTATCTTTAGGGTCTTGCTTTTCGTCTAATTACTAGTCGCCAAACAGATATATTTATATTCCAGTGCGTCGCTGTCCAATTTAGTAAATTCTGTTATTTCTACCTTGCCTACTCTTCGACTTTCATTCGTTGTTGGTTCTGTTGGTCATTCGTGCAGGTTGGCATCGCGTGGGTTGTTGGCGAAGGGGCGAGAGCGAGCCTTTGTACCACAACAGTTTTGGCCTTCAATATATACTTACGTATACAGGGCTGATCACCATAATCAATGCTCACTTCCTCTTGTAAGTCGCCGTAAGGCTTCGAGCTTGGACTCTGTCACACCATACACTCGTGCCAAGGATCTGTTAGTCGCAGTCAAGACCTTAGTGGGCGCGTACGCCTACGATTGGTAGATAACGAAGGTTATGAGGGTAATTTTATGTACGCAGAACCAACAACATGTTGGGCTCCTGAAGTCCTAGATAACGAACAGATAAAAGGTCATAGAATGAGGCTAATTGCTTATAGAATTTGTGTATACATAAGAGTAGATTTCACCGAGTGGAATGAGGGAGGCACCATGGCCCTTGAGACCTTTAAGAATTATTCTAGTCGCAAAGATTCACTGATTCCAAGCCTTCGCATACATATATGATATATGAGCCCTTGTCATAGACCCCAACGTAAGTACCTACTATGTGAGTAAGAGTAATGTGCTACTACAGGGATTGATGGCACGTGCATTAGCCAAGCTCTTGTTGGCTCCCTATAGGTATACTTACGCCCTCTGTACCTCACCAGAGTCAACCCCCACCTTACTTGGATTCCTCTCTCTCCCATCCCCAAAATGCCAGAATGTCGATACTTAGTACGAGGCTATCGACCACCATTCTTTCAGCTCCAAGATCCAAGATTAATCCAGCAATTATCCCTTTTCTTTCACAGGTACCTCGTGTGAAGCATTATTCTATTTCCTCCATGTTTCGTCCTAGCTATACTTGTGATATTGACGCTGAACCGCTTCACCGGTACCGGCCTGGCGGCTACCATCCGATTCTATTGGGCGATTTGTTCAAGGATCAAAGATATAAAGTCATTCAAAAGATCGGCTGGGGTGGTAATTCAACTACTTGGGTAGCTCGTGATCAACTGTCAGTTCTTCCGTTGCATCAAGACGCGTTTCTGTATCTTAACATTGGATTAGGCATAACCGAAATGTTGCGTTAAAGGTATCTGTGTCGGAAAAGAGTAGCAACAATGAAGCGCATGTTTTAAATGCTATTTCCAAGCTTTCAGAAGAGTCTCTCAGACAGGACCACCCTGGTCAGCACCATTTGATGCGAATGCTGGACCACTTTACGGTTGATGGGCCTAACGGAATACATGATTGCCTTGTGCTTGAACTGCTCGGTCCTAGCGTACCAGATGTCATTGAGTCCCTTTATAGCGATGGTAGACTCCCTGCGGATTTTGCCAAGTCCACTGCATACCAGGCCTTACTCGGCATTGATTATCTCTCTAGCCATAAAATTGGACATGGAGGTAAGTAATATTGGGGTAACTCTTATTTTCGCTGCTAGCTAACAAGGTTTCTCTGTCGAATTAGACCTCCATTCGAGGAATATCGTATTTGCTTTACCGAACCTTGCCTCTTTAGACGAGGTACAGTTTTTGGAAAAGTTCGGCCGGCCTGAGACAACACCGGTACGGAGTGTTGACGGCATGGCCTTGACAGCTCACCTCCCTAATTACATAGTCCGGCCCATTTCTTTCCATGCTCGGGGTATGCGTGAGGAATTACGTAGGTCCACAGTCAAAATCATTGATTTTGGCGAGGCCTTCTTCCGGAGCCAGAGTGCCGTCGCGGTCCACACGCCACTGGCCGTTCGAGCGCCGGAGGCGATATTTGACGATAGGATTGATTATCGCATTGATACGTGGAGTATGGGTTGTCTGGTATGACTACTGTCCTTGAATATGCCGTTCCTCCTTGCGTGCTAACGGAGATAGCTCTTTGAACTAGTGGCTGGCCAGCCACCGTTTGACGTAGTTATGCTAACTCGAGCTATTCTGGTGTCGGAGATGATGGAATTCTGCGGCGAGCTGCCTGATCGGTGGCGAGAAAAATTGGATACAATAGGGGTAGGGAGAACCGAACCTGTTAGTGATGCCCCTTGTACACTACTGGATTGGTTACAAGATATCTACTTTGATGATAATAAGACGCCGGGGTTTACAAGGCAGGATATTGCAAAGGTGTGTGAGCTTGTAACACGAATGTTGAAGTTTGAACCGTCTTCACGGGCATCGGCAAAGGAAATTACAAGCGACCTGTGGTTTAACGGATTAAAATCATAATGAATAGAATATAATTAATTATTTATAAACAAAAAGGCATAATATTATATTGCTGCCCCGTCCAAACTTATAATCAAGTCAGCAGAGGTGACGTGATGCAGTGACACGGGTGTCCCTACGGCGGCAGAGAAATTCCAGGTCTAGGAGTTTGGCTCGCAGGCTGAGAATAGGTGATCTACTCAGATGGGAACCTGATTGCATGCCACTTTTTATCAATCTAGCAGCAGCATATAGACCTTGGAAAACAACGAATAGGTTTTGTTTTAAGGGCTATTTGCTGTATTGGATGCGTTGCGTTTCAAAATTTAAAGAGATAAAGCTGTCATTTTCGAGCTGTATTAAAGCTGAGGAAATCTGGTAAAACATCCCGTTTGTTAAGCGGTAAAAGAATCTAGAAATTAAGGCGTGCACGGTTATTTGGCGGGATAGACTTGACTCCGAGCCTCGCAGTAGATGACCTATATATACACCGCCCTAATTTCACACGCTACAGACTCACAAGTTCGAAATGCCTAACACGACGCTGCATATCTACACATATCAAAGCCTTTAATATTGCTCAGCGAACAATCAATTCTTACGTGCTGTACTACGCAAACATTTTAATACACCTGCACGCGTTAAGCGCATATAATATCGGCTGGTGGGTATATGCAGTTACGTGTGATATTGGTACCATGCAACGTAAAAGTCAGTCGAGATGGTTGATCTGTGTGAATAGTAGTGTCACGGAGATCGCCTAGGTAATCAATTATATCAATAACGGACGCCATGGCCGGCACCTCAACCGCAGATAATTGAATAGATCTGGATAGATTAAGAGAGGTCACATGATCTTGAGATATCTACCTAGGTAGTAATATCACTCAACGTCACTGCCAACTTCTACCACCTCCTTGTCATTATCCCATATTTCCTCCTCTCTGGGCTCTACTAGCCATCTGGGCAAAAGCGCCTCTCCTTCAGATGCTATAATTAGGGTCGTTGTGGTGTCAGGTTCGTGAAGTAGAGGTTCTATGTCTTACCAAATGCCAAGTATGCAGCGAACTAGTGTAGGCTTAGCGCTTTTGCCGCTTTTTTCTCAGGCTCGGCTCAGCCAGCCATCAGTCAGGTCACCTTGTGTCGGGCTTGTACTTAATTAAGCCAGGCAGGTGATTTGTACCTACCCATAGGTACCGGTGTAAACGCGTGCGCGTGACCGCGCTCGCGGCCTGTCCAGGTCCGTTCAGGGTAACACCACTCTTCAAGTACTTGGCGAAACCTCAATTCAAAACTGGTGTTGTACCGACATTTCAGACCAACCTAGGTATTCACACTCTCGCACTTTGATGTACCTTATTAGGTAAGGAGGTACACTATCTTATCAGTTAGGCAAATTCAAGGTTGACGAGGTCTGGGGATCTCCAGGTACGACTCACTGGGCGCCTTCCTGTTTTTTTGTTTTTTGGGGCCCCCCGGCGGTACTGGCCTACCTAGTTGAGGGAACACAACCAACACAACCAACATATCTCTATCTCGCACAAAGTACTGCTAGCTGTTCTTACGCCAACTCCTGCCTCAGCACCTCGTTTTACACACACACACACACACACACTCTCTCTCTCTCTCTCCTACGTCGTGACGCTCGTTTGCGCTCTTATACGCGCATCTGCCCTGCTCGAGATGGCCATCAGCGAGGATGTGCCGGGCATCAAAGTCTCTGTGCGGGTTCACCAGCAACCACTACCCGAGTTTGATGATCCAGATGCTCACGATCGCGATGATGCTGCCGCGCATCCCTTAGAAACCAAGTACATCGAGTGTGTTGATGACGCTCACTTCGACATCTCCTATGTCGTCGACTCCACCTACGCATGGGGCTACTGTAATCACGTTCTCATTGCCACTTCTTATATAGACGGCCAATATATCCGTGGACATATTCTTTATGAAAAGGACACCAAATTTGGCGGCCTTGCCGTAGGGGTGGTTGATGGGAAAGAAGTTTGCAGCAGTTCTGGAATGTGGTCTAAACGAAGATTTAGGTTTGCTGCTGTGAAGACGGGTAGGTGCCATCACTGGACGCCTGTATTCCCTTCACTAACCAGCTGGTAGTCGAAGATCAAACAAGTAAACTGCGTATAGAAAGAGATCTCCAAGTTGTAAAGGGCCTTGGCACCATCGAGGTCAAGTTCACTCGAGCCATCAAGTCCGGTAACGAATATACACGAAATCATGCTTCTGGTTGCACTTCCGCAACACTCGAGTTGGCAGAGAAGTCGCTGAAAGGAAAAGCCGTCTCGCACGGTACATCGTACGGCCACTATTCCCTCTTCCCCAAAGAATACTAACCCGATGCCACCTAGATACGGCGTCTGCGAGGCGATTGCCGCCCCCAGATACGTAAAAACCCACGATATTCCTGAGGACAATGGCCCTATCCTTGTTTTCAAATTTATGTATCGATCCAAGGGTATGCTTGATCCCGTGTGCGTAACTTCATCTACTAACTAGACCATTAGATGCTCTTAGACGCGAGCTCATCATCCCGCGAAGCCCATCACGTTCGCCTACTCTTGAAGATTTAACACCCGCTGAGAGGGATCGCTTAGCTAGAGAACGACTGAACGAACTTCGCGTAAGTGATAATCTCTGGTTTCCATGAAGCGTTATATCTGACACGACCTTGACTAGGAAAAGAAGATCAAGTCTGAGAAAAAGGGGCCCTTGATTAAACGCGAGTTTAACGAGGTCCTTGATCTGACAGCAGATCCCCCAGTACCTCGAGCCACCAAGAAATCACGTCTTCAGGATGGTAGAGAAGTAGATGTGATTGATTTGACAGATGACTAGCCGGGGTGACCACAAACTATTTCTTGGGAGTTCGGCGCTAGATATACCACTTGATTTGGCGATGCGCTGCGCTGCATTTACTATTAATTCTACTTTAGTCTACATAGCTAGATATGATGCTAGGTATATTTTAAAGTACTGAACATCTCGGCTTTTGTACGCTACTAGACTCAAAGCTATGATAAAGAAGACAAACTTAGGATGATTAGATCGAACACTGCTCGCCTGCATTGGGTCACTATGTGAAGCATTTTCCCAAATCGCTCTATTCTGTAGTCTGGCTCCCTTGTTAAATTCCTGTCCTAGTCATTCATAGCCTCGCTATTATACATGTGGGCTTATGCAAGAAAATCCCGTAGTCGAAAAATGAGGGTGGCAAGCCAGAGCCACCTCCTAATTGCAATAAATCATACCACACCATATCGATATTGTCGTCAGTCTCACCGAACGAATATGAGAGTAATCATGTGATGACGTGAACGGTGGTCGTGTCTATGATCATTTGCCTATATACTCATAAGATTCAATCATACAATTCTACACATGTAATTTGATATATGATATATGTAATGATTCCAGCACTATATGCCCACATCGGAAAAGTCCATCTACATGATGCCAGCAGTATTTGAATGTGTCCTATTTCCTTCGCTTCCCTTCTATGGTTCTTCCAGATGTGTCCCTCCTCTTCACACCATGTGACAAGGCGGCTTTTTGCCGCTCTATCCAATGTTTCAAGCACAGCGCTAGCACCGTCGGTGTTGGCGGAATATGGGAAGACAAGTTCGTGTGCTACCTACAGACTTATCTAGCTATAATGTCTCTGTCGACATATTCACACTGAGAAGCGGCACGATGTCCGGGGAGGAGTAGCCACCAGGGGGATGATCAGGCGCAAAAATTCCTGAAAGGTCGACCTCTGCCCCGGATGAGAATAGCTGTCGATTTTGTAGCCTCCGACAATCGCGCCAGAGTATTTGCTGTTGCTGGGTAGCTTGATGGCCCCCCCGGGACTGTGGGCCCGAGGGAAGAAGGAACAGCGAGCTTCGTCAGGGGCTGGATTTGGTAGGGCCCAGAGCTTTCAGTCACCGTCTAAGAATGAGACCTTTTCCACCTCCAGTCTCTAACTAGTAACGCCGTATGTATCTACCTGATTAGTTAATTAGTTAGTTACATCTCGGCCATATCTTGCCGTGCTATTCCGAGCCGCACGCTACATTCCCAAGGGAAGAGAGATACGCACGACAGCTTTTCGGGCGTCAGACTGGCTAGTCATCACATATTCTATGTCCGTTGAGTGGCTAGACCCAAACAGGTGATGCCAGTGGGATGCGAACGGCTCTTGGCTGCGTTTTGTTCACTCGCCCTTGCATGATGGTGTCGTTGATATGTAGGGGAAATACCATGTCACCGCCAGACGGTCCAATAGATTACTTTTCCTTTATCTCGATCTCTATCTTTTTAGTTGCCTTGTATCGAATGATAGCAACAGCTACCGCCCTGGAGTGCTTGATACACGTGGCAGGACCACCGGCGTAAAAATGTCGTGACACCGTTCACGGTTATCTGGAGAGCCGGGGGGGGGGGGGGGGCATGGTAAGTTCTGGGCCAGAAATGGAGAGTAGAGATTGACAGATGGGCTGTCACGCAAGAAGCAAACAATGTACGTACAACTGTTGAAGTGGCTTCCTACCTAGGTCCTTATGTTCCCCCTTAAGAGCAATATTATGCTGACGATATGATTTGGTAGCGTATCAGAAAGTCTTCTTGATATCGTCCCACTGTGGCATATGTATGCAAAACGCTATTATGTTTGCCCGTGGCTTGGGGCTTTGATGACGCGGACAGATCTAGAGGACACATGATTTCCTTGGAGGGGTTTTGACGGCGGTAGGGTGAAGTGAATTTGATAAAAGAGTCGTTGAAGAGATCTTTCAATGATAGGGGTTCGCGTACTACGTAGCGCTTGTCGCGCATGTTGAGCAGCAAAGCAGGTAGCAAGTATGATTGCCAATCAGCAGAGGCAAGGCAAATACCGCATCAAGAGAAACGATCTCGTTACATCAATAGGTATCAAGGATGGCAATCCGAAAAGGTCGTGATTCGTTACGCAACAAGTATCTGCGTCACGCGCTTCCAAAGGGCACGCCGCTGTGGCATGCATATCCAAGCAAATATACCTGACCATTTTCCACCCAGCGAGATGCTATCTCTTGAACTCTGTCTTCACCATAACCTCCTCCACTTCCGAAATACAGGTTTTCTGATAAGGCGTCTCGCACAATAAGCACAGAAAGCGTGGATGTGCAACTTGTCCCGCATACTCACCCCAGTCACCTTTGCCTCAAATCACCCACGAAGTACACCACACACAAATATTCATGCAACGACAAGCCCATAACAACGCTCCTCCAAACTGGTTCAAGTTACCAGTGTTCTTGATTTTCCCCCGAAAGATGGTCCCACAGATATCTCACGCGAACGGACATCTTGTCCGTGAAGATCACCCAGTCATGCCCAGTCGCCATACCCAGGTGAATCACCTATACCAAATTCACGTGGTTGATAGCCCAGAGGCTGTTGTAACAATGTACTGTGACAAAAAAAGCGAAAATCCGGTCACCACGTATGGCCTGGCTTTTGCCAGCGTGCTTGGCGGAATGTTCCTATCCGATGCATTCAGGAGGTTCATAAGTTAAGGTAACGTTGGTCAACTTCCCTCGAGGATGGAGAATAATCTTGGAAACTGGATTTTGAATTCGAAGAATAGCTACATTGATAACAGTGATCACACTTTCAAGACTAGTCGAGGGTTAATCGGAGGAAGGTCGACTTTATGGTTTCTGGCTTGCGCTGGGCGCAGCTAGGTAAGGGTAAAGAAAGGAAGAGAAGAAGAGGATTGGGCATATGCCGGGTACGACTACTAATGCTTAAATTTCAAGATTAGTTTGATATAGCAGAGGCTAAGAGTCTAATTGCCTATGAGCTCCGACAATATAAGTCCAGTCTTCTCATACTAATACTTTGTACTGTATTCTACTCGGCCGAAATGTACCCTTAGGATGTGTTAGGATAAGAAATCTCAGATACAATGGATAACACGCTGAGCACATACTTTTGAACTCATGAGCTGGAAGGATATGGGTACCGAGATGAAGAACCCAATCAATCAAGGTAACAGGTAGACAGCTCATATTCATCAATATATTCAGTAGAAGATCATCAAACACCATGATTTGCAGAGCTCAGGGGGTATCTTAGATCTAGACAACAAATTTCGAGGTTTTCTAGAGCATCAGGCTCTTGTTGGTTGGTTGTGGCCCAGGGGAGTATTCAGTGAACAAAGAAAGTAGAGTGACAGTTGCTGTTGTTGCACATTGACTTCACAGACAGCGTAGGTGCCCTTGCATGAGAGCAAATCAGGCCCGAGACACATTTTCTTACTGAGTCAGTCTCATATACCAACCGATGTATCTCTACCTTTGGGCTCAGTCTCCATTCTAGTCCGTTCCTTGATGCGAAATTGTTACCACCTTTCCACAAGTTGCTAGAGCCAATCTTAGGAAATCTTATGTAGATACATGAAACTAATAGGCATGCCGGCAACACGGTGTGGTGAGCTTGCGCAACAGTGCCTTGGCATTGTAAGAGCAAACACCCACAGAGTCACGACATAAGTTGTTTGCAGGCACATAGGGGTTGTGCTGGTGATGCCTTCATGCTGAACAACGCACCCTGAGTGTCATATCATCCCTGCACACCATTGATTAATTGATTGATAGAGCTCTGTCACTTATTGTGTGCCTAAGAGAACTACCATTAAGAGAGTGCTTGAAGGGTTGTACCAAAGCGTGACCTTCTGTGTCTCTTAAATTGGTGAGAGCACAATGAGTGATACAATCCACTCGGCAACGTGGACTTCCCACCTCTCGGGCTGGATTCTTCCACAAAGATCAAACAGTATATGCAGATTATTCCAGTACTTTCATCAAATCGAACAACTTCCTCGTACTCCCTTGAAACACCTCCTGACCCTATAGTCTAGGCAGCGAGGCATGAAAGTATGACCTATCCCCACTACATAATTGCCGTCCGCAGCTGACATCGTCTCAGCCAACTTGCCTCTCTGATATCACAACCAATCCGGACAGTCTTGCAGAATATACCGAAGACCAATCAATGACAGCACACATTGTAAGCTCGAAGGAACATCAAGATATAAAACCTGCTTGGTCTAACATGGACTCCTCCTCCGGTCAGCCAGTAGTGTTGGACATTGACGGTGTTGACGGATACAACTTCGGCGAGTCGGGTTTCGAGTTCGCTCCGGACTCTGCAATAAGCTATTCGTCTTCAATGCCAGCACAGACCAACGCCACTACACAAACCCAACCGCCGTTCGTAGGTCCTTTTACCGCTATCGCAGCGGCAGCAGCGGCAGCCCAGGACGAGGCTCAGGGTCAGCCCATGAAGGACAACGAGGATCATTGCAACAAGCAAGCCTGCATGGAGAACGACAAAGACGACAGGACAGCCGGGTCTCCTATCAGTTTCACTTACTGCCGCGTTGTCGATGGAAACATCAGTTTCAATCAAACTCACCACCATAGTACTGCCACAAACACGATCACGAGCAAGGCCGATCCCCCAAGCTCGAATAACGCTGAATCCCCGAACTCGAACAAACCTGACCCCCCGAGCTCGAGCAAACTTGATGTTCACAGCGCGAGCATCGTGAGCGGACTGACTTTTGCCAGTGTGCTCGGAGCCTCCTGGATTGTCTGGGCGGTGCTAATCAAACCTAGCATAGACTAGGAGACATATGCCACAACCTAGTGAAGGCACAAAATCCAAACCCCGCCCCTACTGCGAACCAGGAATTATCTTGGAAGCTCGGATATAATTAATCGACACCGGGCAACTCAGCTCTTGACGCCTGACTAGCACGAAGGGTATGGCTATCTTTGGCGTGGCCCAAGGATCCTACAGAGTTTATCTGCAAGCCGAGGCATCACACCCCATTGTACCGCCCCTTACCTCGCTCCGCCCTTCACCATATGATGGATGGCGATTTCACTTTGAACGACATACGAGGCCCTCGGTTTTTCGGTCGGTTATTTTCTGATGAGCAGGTTTTTTGGCGCCTGATGGCGAGCCACATTCATTCATTTGTTCGATCAATCATGATGAAGGGAAAGAGAAGGACAATGAGAATGATCAACAGATTGTTTACGGTCAATATTGTTTACGTACTGCTGAATTAGTTTAATCCAGTATACTTTCATTCAGAACTCGGGACCCCGTTGACTAGCATCCAAAGACCCTAATCTTACATCGTGACCTCTTGATTTACATCTAGCTTAAGCCAGAACATATGAACATAGAAAGTAGGCAAGTACCCGTCAGTTTAGATAGAGATCAAGAAGACTCCCGAATCATGCACAACTAATCAATAGCCAATTTCCCATTAATCCTCTAAATCAATAGAAACATATAACATGCTTCAATCCCACCCCCAAACTCCAACATTATCTCCCATTCCCCGGTGTTTTCACTTATCATCTCCCATCATCATCACATGCCCTAACGTACAAAAAGAAACGAGAGGGAAACCCAGAAAAGAAAAGACATCAAAACATCGCGCGCTCGTACAGGGCATGTGAAACTCCCTCGATAGGAGACGAAAAACGGGAAAAGTGGGGGGAATCTTCGCCAAATCGTGAGAGGTGAGTACATGAGTTTAGTGCCCAGGTACATAAGAATTCCCTTCTTTCTTCCCTTCCATCCTTCCCAACGCAACGCAAAGACAAAGACTAGACAATGCCGCCAACTCCCCTCCGATGCGGGACCCCGAAAATGCCAGCAGAAAATGCGATTTTCTCCCAGGAGAGACATGCGTACATAAGAGACAGGAAGTATCGTCGAGTTGCTTTTTCCTTCTGGGGACAGCTCGCTTTTGGAGGGGAAAACGGTGGTGAAATACCCACACTCCCTCCCTTTCATTCAGTAAAAAGTGATTTGTTCGCTCATCGTTCGTTTCATCGTCGCGGCGTGAAGCGTGAAGAGGGCCATAATACGACGTCCACCTAAGAGCGGCCCTTGGCAGCAACGCGGCCGGCGGGCGCGCTCACGTTACGATCCGTCACGCCGGTCAACATCTGCCTCCGGGGCGTCATGGCGCCCTGCATGGCGCTCCTAGCGCGTCCGCGCCGCTCCCTTATCTGCGCCAGGGCCTGCTCGCGCGTCATGGTCGGCGTCAGCGCCGGGTTGTTGACGTCGAAGGACGGCGTGCGGCTGTGTGTCATCGTCAGAGGGGCCGGGTGCGGCGGCTTAGCGGTCTCGTCGTGAATGGGGATCGACGTCGTTGTTGTCACGGTGTAGAACGCGGCGGATGTGTGCGGTCGCGAGTCCATTGAATCGTCGACTTGGATTGGAGTGGCGTCCAGGGAGTCGCTTTCTTTATTTCCATCTCCTTCTGTTTCTTCTTCTGAGGCTGCGTCCTCTCCAGCATACGAAATATCGCCGCTTGTGCTGGGGATGTTGAAGGCGAGACTTGGTTCCCTTTCATGGGGGGCGTTAAGGAGGGACAACAGAGACGTTCGTTCTTGAGCCATGAGTGCAAATGACGGAGGCTCAACGGATGGAGTTCGAGCGTAACGTAGATGGTTTGGCTCCGCTTCAACGGGTGTAGGGGGCTCTAAGGTAGCTTCCTCCTCGCCGTTCTGTTCCATTGCCTCTAATTCTTGTTGGGTGATCGTGCGAAAGATACCTTCCGCTGGGACGAATATAGTCCCACGCCGAGGCTCCTTGCGCTTCGATTGCTTGTTCGGTTCATTCTCCGTGGTGTCCTCTTTGCGCGGGCGCTTGCGTGTTTGTGGTGATGATGCTTTCGTCCCTTCTTCGGGTTCAGGTTTCCCTTCGACGTCTTCGCTATTTTCCGTACAAGTCATTTGTGGTTCGGTTGCTTGCTGCTCAGAAGGAACTTCTTGGCCCTCTCCAGATTCAAGCTTTGATGCCTCTGTAGGCGGCGGGGATTTCCGTGATTCTGTGTCTTCGCCAAGTATCACAAGGTCTGACGGGTCGACGATTTTGATTGGATCCGTCCTTTCCTTGCGTGGCGACGTGGTTGTACTTCGTCGTAGAGGGGACCTGGGTTTGGAAGTGCGGTGCATCTCAAATTCAGCTTGGACAAATTCGAGATGATCTTGTGCCCGATCTGCTCTCTGCTTCTCCCACTGCCAGAGTCGTGTCAACTCCTCAATCTCAGCTTCTGTTGCGGCCGAGGATACTATCTCGAAAGCTGACAATGACTCTCTACCCCCGAAACTCTTTCTAGGAGAGGCGAATTCACTATCAGGTTCCTCTGGTGGCAATGGTATGCGCCCCTCGGCCGCTATTCTAGCGACCTCTTCACTTTGTGCAGCTGCTTTGAAGGCATCCCGCTCTTCTTCTAGGAAGATGATGCGCTCCTGGGCTTTGTCCAACTCCTGTTGCAGCTCCACTAACTGGTAGCGGGCCGCAAAGGCCTCCTGCTCTCGTGCTTTGCTGAGCTCCTTCTCCCGTGCGAGACATTCCTCTGTAGACTTTGCGGCGACCCGTGCCGCCTTGAGTTCTTCTTGAAGTTTGACGATGGTTGACTGTGATTTGAATGTTTCCTTGCGCGCCCGTCGAATTTCCTTTTCCCATATTGTGTGGGTGTGTGAATAGGTTTCTTTGGCTCGCCCGTAGCTCTCCTATAAATATTGCGTAGTATCAGCATCCAGAAGTTGGCACGTCTTGACATAGAATAGTGTAACAAGGAAACGCCAACGTACCATGACAGTTTCTAATCGCTCTCCGACTTTGCGTTCTCGTTCACGACCTTCCTCTACTTGCCTGCGGAGGACCCGGGATTCTTCTCTATATCTACGCATCTCGCTCTCTGCCTCCTCTCTGCCTATCATGGCACGTTTGAGCGCGGCATCGGCGGTCATTCTCTCGAGCTGCTTCGACATGGACGCAGACGTGGTACCGGGGGGGAGATGCGACAAGTTGTTGAATTGACGTATCTTTTCGTGCACATCGCTGTCGCGCTGCACACTACTTCGAAGAGAGGAGAGCATGGGGTTCTGCTGGTTGACACGGTCGGGCGATATGGGTTGAAGAGGTGTCGCATTTTCGCAGGGCGATACGGTTAACGCCTCGGCGTCTTCCATCTTGTTGTCTTGTTCTCTGATTCTCTGGTTCTCTTGTTCTTTCTGCAGTTATTGCTTGTGAGACTTCAGAGAATTCCACAATCAAATGTTATGGCCAGAAGATGATTGCGGATGAATCTGCAGTGGCGTACCTATTATGATGTTGTAAGTACCTAAAGTATGTGTGTAGATAGTGAAATGGTGGCTCGTGCTAGAGACCAATCGTACCATCTAAAACCTTGGCCAGATGCCCAAAGCTAAAAGTAATGTTTACTATTACCAATCGGAACGTGGGGACTCGCGTTGCCAGGCCAATATTGGAGGGCAGTGGATCACAGCTGGCCCAATCTGTCGCCAGCCGTCTACCAGTCACCCCACCAAGGTCCTCAGTCTGTTATCAATGATCATCATGTTATCATCATAATCCATAATCGTACTTTGATCGACTTAGAATGCTTGTGTAGGTATTCACTATCGTCTCTATCATGCTACCTAGGGATATTGTTTCATTTTCAATCAATCAGTTAGCTAGGTCAGTATCACGGCATTACAGGCTGATCCTTGAAAGTCATAACGCCAATGGAGGCCGTTGGGTGTCTTACCTAATACCAGTCTTTCTACACTGTCTCAGAAATTGAAAATAATTTGTAGCTCGGCCAATAAACCGCGTTTCTGAAGTCTATACTTAGCCCTGTACACAAACCCAGCCTAGATAATTGAGATCATTATATCACCCATCTCCAAGTTTCACGACGTGTCAGTTATGCAACCCAGTGATTTGTGAATAATGGGTAACAAGGTGTGAATTCACAACTTTCTCAATACAAGAAACAGCTACGAGTAGCTACCAGCCCTCCGTCTGCCAACTATCTTTTCGTAAAATGTACATTACATGCCCGCTCTCAAACTCAGTTACCCTAGAGTCAACATTCAAGAACATGTGCTCAAAATAAAACCCAACGCCAAACCCAAATGTCCACTCTAGGATAATGCCAAAATATCAAGATTGTAAACCAATTCTTCGCCCTTCTCAGTCAATGAAGGCACCACGGGGTGGCCTTTACCCATCTGCTAATGGCGCAAACGAAAGGAGATTTTGACAGGATACTGAATTCGCGGCCAACCCATTATAGGCGAAATGATTGCTTCAAAGGCTTCGAAGCCATCTAGGTAGCAGAAGATTCTGCTTTGGCTCTCTCATCCTTCTCACTTGTGGTTGCTATTGGCTTGGCGAGTCACATCGTGGCTGGCTTCCTTCGCGCGCACTTTGCCAGCGCGCAAATAGTCGCCGACCCAAGTAAGAGCCTCCGATGTCACAAAAAGACTTGTTGAAATCAGAGCCTTCCCGGATGTGATAATTCCCTCACCCCCCACTTTCTTGTACTCGGAGTTGTAGACATCAGTGATATGGTCCTTGGTCTCCAATCCTTTGCGGACAGGGAAGAAAACAATCGACTTGCCGTCAGAGACAAGCTCATCTGTGGACTTCTTCAAAGCGGGGATACGCTCATCGATCCTAGACAGCGTATCGTCGCCAAAGGCATCGGCCCTCTTGACATAGGGCTCGACGTACCGGTATGGCCGATCAAGGTAGGGGAAGATAGGTTTAACAAATGTCTGGTAAGCGGAGTCGCTTAAATCGATAGACTTCTGGCCATAGGGATTCTTCTTGAAGTAGGTGATGCCATCGTTGACCACTGGGTAGCCAGTGAGGTGCTGGGATGAAGTCACGTTAGCTCGAGATCGTCGTTTTGATTTCCCATCAGGCAGATTTAGAATCTTACCGACAGCGTTGCCGACGATGGAGGAACCTCGCCATTGACTTGAGGAGCCATGGTGGATGACAGAGGTGCGACTCGATGTGAATGATGCTAGCGAACGCTCCTGGTGAGATTGGGATGTTAGTTAGTTATTGAGAGGGGGGAGGACATCCGGACAGGTCGGAAAGTCAAATCAAAAGTAAAAAAACCGACACTCCGGAACAGACATACGTTGTTACGAGGGGAGGTATATAACGGTGCAGCGGCCTGAAAGCAGATAGAAACTCAAAACGGTGCGAATGCAGGGTAAGCAACAGAGGATCGGGTGGTGTAGGGGCCGAGATGAAATATCGCTTTGAGCCAGAGGAGGGCGGAAACAAAGATGAAAAAGGGAAAAACAGCTCACGCTATACACGCAGAGGGAAGAATGTGAAGATAAAGAGGGAAGGGGACTGGGTTTGAGTATAGGAATGCAGACTAGATTGCAGAATAGAACTAGATCAACCTTTTACTTACCTAATTGTTGCGCAGATATGTCGATATCCAAGACCTGGCAGAGACCTGGGATGCTCGAGGTGAAGAGAGAGGTGAGATGTTACGAGTAGAACTATCGGCACGCAGATCACTGTGGCATCGATGGATGGGTGGGAGATAGAGAGAGCTTATAAGTGAACTCAACTTGACCGTTTCGCATGTGCCTCTTTTCCGCTTCCCTCCATGCCTTGGGCCCCTTGTCTAGCTCAAAGAAGCACCCGAGGCTCCAACTCTGTAACCTACCTCCTTACCTACTACCTACCGAAAACGCGGGAATCGTACCTACGTGTGTATCTTTAGGCATGACAAACTTGTGACAACGAACGGCAGAGCCCAAGCCCCCCTTGCGATGGATGGGACGGTGCCTAGGTGGCCATACGCAATCTGATCGAGCCATGAAGTCATTGGCTGTGATCCGGACCTTTCCTTGCAGTCTGAAGCTCGAGTTCTTGGCGGGAGGGCCATGGCTGTGGTGGGGGGGAGGGTGCCTAGTGGGGTCGATTAGGTAGCTACATCCCTAGCAGTCCCCTAGCATAACAGAGAGCTTCAGTGGGTCGATTGCTCTACGACACCACCCTGCGTACCTACAGTAGGTAGGTACAGTAACTACCTACTGTGTATGTGTGTCAATGCTGATAAGGGCCAACGATGTTGCTATATGTAAAGATTCAATCAAGTGGTATTTTTAATTTACAGTTTTGATAAGATGATTCGTGAAAAATTACATGTCAATTGGAGTTACAAGGCAGGGCCAACCTCAGTACATGCCACAGGTGCCTATCGTCTCGTCTACCTAAGTACATACTGGTAGTACCTACATAACCCCCCCTATCTATATCCCTGTCGCTGGCATGTGAAAATCCCAATGGCGTTTCGACATGCCATGTAACGAAGACTTTGCGACCAAATTTCCCAAAGTCGAAAAGATCGGCACATATGCTACTGTAGAGTCGTGATTATCCATTGGGTTTAGAATCGAATACATGCAGTAGTAAAAGTTCACTTCGTTGCAGTGTTTTGTCGTCGCAATTCCTTATCAGCCGTGCAAGATCACACAGATTTCATCCATCCTCTTATTCCCTTGAGCCCGAGCGAGACATTCTCCGTGTCAGACCATCCGACTCGACCACGTACAATCGCCCCTAAAACATTCCAGATCCATTGATCGATCATTTGAGCAGCGGATAGAACAAGGAAGTGATCGCAAAATCGCACCTGGTGGGACGGGCCTTGCATCAAGTTCTTATCATTCCGTGCACTACTTCCCTTGGCCATGCTGTGTCTACTGGTAGATTGTCGATAGTAACTGTTACTAAGACAAGGCAATGCGCATTAGTGAAAGCTTTGGAGCGGAATATCTCCTGTACGGCCAACGAGGAATGCATATTGCCTACCAATGTCCCTAGTAGGTCGTAAGTAGGCACGTACATGGCTATAGATACGGTAGACCCGAAGCCGACCCGGAAAGCTCCGGGTGCTATCTATAGTACATGGCTGCATCGACGGCGTCAATACAGAAATTTGGTCCGGATATATCTGTAGGTACAGCACTGCTATAATCCAGGTAAGAAGTACTAGTAGGTAATCAACTTCAATGAAGCAAAACACCTCGGCTTCAATCGTCTTTAATGGCATACCTATCTAGCTTGTTCGCCACTAAAAAAATGCAATGCGCCTCATTTGCTTTGTTCTAGTCTAGTCGATATTCGACGGTATGCGGCGAGCCGGGAGGGAGGCCCACCGTTCAAGGAGATCTCGCCATACCGGCTGCACTCTGCAAATCCCAGGCCACCTAGGTTGGCCGCACATGCACACTACGTTGGCCGCACATCCACTCCATTTGAACTAAAGTAGCCACACTATACAAATAGCATATAATTTATATTATAAGCTAAATCCTAGCAATATACCGTAATTTATAAATATATTGTAGGATATTAATAATACCTTTATAAAGATAAAGCATTTTACTTTAAATATTATAATATTTATAATTGTTAATAATTTATATTATAGTAAAGGTATTTTATAATTATATAAGTAAATTTATTAAAGAAATATAATTAATATTAAATCTTTTATTTATTATTATTTAAAAATAAGGTTAAATTATTTAAAATATTAATAATAGCATTATTATTATTATTATTATTATTATTATTATTATTATTATTATTATTATTGTTATTTCTTTACCTAAAGGTGTGGAATAAAAAATCGTTAACGTTCCGTTGAATTTTGCATAATACGCGTAACTTTTCCTTTAAACGTTATTTAGCGCTAGCCCGTTAAGTTATTAATAAAGCCTAATACCGTTTATAGATTTTTAATATATTTAAAGGGTTAATAAATGTATTAAAAGGAGGAAGAAAAGGATAAGAAGGAGGGGGAAAAGAGCTAAAGGCGGAAGTAAAGGCGGAAGTAATAATGGTAATAGGAATAGGAATAAAAGTAAAGGTAAAGGTTAGGGTTAAGGTAGGAAAGGATATAATTATAGTAATATATTATTAATTAATTATATTTTATTAGGAAACTTTATATAAGTTTATAATTATAGGCCTTTTTTTAATTGTTATAAATATAGTTAATATAAGCTTTATTAAAGCTATTTATATAAATATCCTATAAGTTTTTATTATTTATATAATATAAATATTTTTATATTAAGGTAATATTTAAAATTTATTATAAAGTAGCTTTTAAATTTTAATTAATGCTAAATATATTAGTTAAAAGTGTAAACTTACCCTTATAAGTATTATCCTTTTTATATTAAAGGGGATAGATAATAGATAGGTTAAGGAGAGGGATAAGGGAAGGGGTAATAAAGCATTAATAATTATAATAGTGTTAAATATATTTATAAATATAAAAGATATACTTTTATATAGTTTTAATAGTTATATATTTTATTATATTAAATAGTTTTACTTTTAAAATATATTAAAACGTAGGATAAGATATATGCTTTTTTTATTACTATTATTATTATTGCTATTATTGCTATTGTTACTACTGCTGCTAAGGGCGGCAGTAGAGGATATAGCGGTAGGAAGGATATAATAGCAGCAACGGCGGCAAGATTAGGATAACATATAGGTTATCTATAATAATAATAA